CCAAATAACTAACAAGACTGATCTATTTTCCAGTGCCTACTAGAAATAATGATACATATTTTAATTGCAGCTTTAAGGTAATGGACAAAAAGCTTAGCTAGTGTAAAGAGATTATTTCCTATACCACCTTTATGACTGTTTTAATGTCAATTCAGTTATTTAAATATGACCTCTTTAACTGGCAAGACAATGTTATGAGCCCATACACATGTGAGGGTCGGTTTGTCTGAATTTCAAAACCACACTGTTTTATTAGTTGGCAAAATGATTTGTAGCAGTGCATAATTAATAGTCATTGACAAAGAAATCATGCACTCTGTAGGACAGGCTAATGGAAAACAAAGCAGAGGGGATTGGATATGAATGCTGGTCATTTGGCTGGTTGGTCCACCACTTTGGAAATATTTCAGTGACAATTAAATGGATCAAGATTCATTTCTAGTAAATCTTGAGTCTCCAGAAAATGAATCTTATCTCTCTACTGCATGACTTTTTGATTTTTGGGGAAAAAAATATTTCTCCCTATTTTGGGGGAGCTTTAGGGTCCCTAATAATATATCATCATAAAATTTGACTAAACGGTGGCCTCATTGCCAGACCTGGCACACATCTGGTTGACATACACTCTGCCAAAACACCAGTCAGTCAGAAGTGCCAGCTTGATGCCAGATCTGGGCCAGACCTGTTTTCTGTAGGCCTGGGCCACATAAGCCAAGCCACAATCAAGCCAGATGTGGCATGCCATCACATAGACAGTGCCATCTATGCCAGGCCTGGCCCATATCTGGATGGCATACGTCTTATCATGTCAGAAGTCAGCCAACAGTGCCGACTTGATACCAGATCCTGGCCAGACCTGCTTGCTATGTGGGCACTAACTCACACAGAGACACAGTTACTTTACCAACTGACCCCTGACCCCTGAGCTCCTCAGTGTCCCTCAAACCTCATTCAGGGATCCACTCCTCTATTTCACTGTCACTCCCTGAAAGCTCACTGTCCTCACTTTCTGAGGACAGAGAGTGCACATTCCCTTGGTTTCCTTCCATAAAAGGTATTTACATCTATGTCCTGTAATTATGAGTAGATTGTAAAGTAAAAACATTGACTATGATCATATAAATGCACACAAACACATCTCTACAAACATATTCAAATGCATTATATTGCCTGAAGAAAAACTGGGCTAACTGCGCAGTGTTGCCTTGAGGCAACAAATGAAAAATAACAGTTTTACTGTATAAATAAATTTTAAAAAGTGGAACAAACAATCAAATATGCTTCTTAACATATTCATGCACATACAAGTATTTTTTAATATACATTTATTTCACTATAAACATGTAAAATAGTGATCTTTATCTTGCCTCCTAATGGAGATGTCTCTCATGTAGTGCCGCTTGCAGCATGTTTTTTTCTGTATAAATGCATAAAGGACGATGTCATGATGTTCAACAAAGGTTCACTTCATGAATACTAGATCTGTAAGCCAATATAATTTGGTGTTTACTGGAAATGATTGAATTTTTTTATAATCTATCAAGCTAAAAAAAAAAAACAACAACAGTAAAGCTAAAGGTGGTGAACATAGATTGCTTTGTTTGCATGTTAGTTTTGCCGTTGCACTATATTTGAGCAAAAAGTTCCAGGAGTGGGTTGATGAAAGAAAAAAAAACATTGCCTGATTTGAATATGGGCATTCCCTGTTTAAAAACTAGTGCCTTAACAGTTGGCTGGGACTTCCCTGATGTTAGCCTTCTAGTTGGCTTTTAATGTTTGTAGACAAAGTCAACGCGAGGCTAGCCTTGTATTAATGGGTTTTAAAAACACCTTTAATGTACTAACACAGCAGCAGCAGTATTACAGTCTAGACGGCTTCTGTAAAATGTTCTCCTTCATACATCTTGGGACATTGCACTAAGACTCTATACTGGCATATTTAGGTTGCACAAACCAATCAATGCCAGAATAGTGATAGAAAGAGTAAGGTTTCAAGGAAATACTCATCATTAGCTAACTGCATCCTGTCACAGAACATGACTAAGAGGCTGAACTCGAATATTTGATGGTCAAATTGATGGCTTTTGACTTCAATTGACCCATTTTTATAACTTGTTAATGATACAGCGCATTAAGATCTTACATTTTGGTGTTTTATTAAGCTAAGCTAGCCCTGACATAGCATGGCATAGCTCACACATGGTGAGAACTTGCACATCCTTCTTTATATAATATATACAGTGCTCAGCATAAATGAGTACACCCGCTTTAAAAAGTACAAATTTAATGAGCTGCTCAATGAACAAAAGAACAATTTCCAAACTTTTCACAAGGCTGAGTTTTATTGAACATTTGTTTAACTCCATAACATGAAATTAAGGTTAATATTATAACTTAGATCACAAAATCTTCAGTTTTAACCAAATTGGTTGACACAAAAATGAATACACCCCGCAACAAAAACTGCTACATCTACTATTTTGTATGACCACTGTGATTTTCAAGGACAGCACCAAGTCTTCTAGGCATGGGATGAAGAAGCTGGCAACACATTGCAACATCTATCTTTCTCCATTCTTCCAGAATAACCTCTTTTAGAGCCTGGATGCTAGATGGAGAGTGATGCTCAACTTGTCGCTTCAGAATTCCCCACAGGTGTTCGATTGGGTTCAGATCAGAAAACATACTTGGCTGTTCATTCACCTCCACCCTGTTCTTCTTCAGAAATGCAACAGTAGTTTTAGATGTGTGTTTTGGATCATTGCCTTTTTTTGGAAAAGTGCACAACGACCAAGTGCACGGAGTGATGGCAGCATCTTCTTCTTCAGAATAGAGCAGAACATTGTTGAGCTCATGATACCATCAATGAAATGCAGCTCCCCAGCACCAGCAGTACTTGTATTTTTACTCAGTTGTATATAGTATTTGTATTTGTATTCTATTTTTATCTTATTGTATTTTTATTTTTATTTTATTCTACTGTATATAGTATTTTATTTTATTCTATTCTGTACAGTTGTGTACTGTATTTATTCTTATTGTATTCTAATTTTTGCCTCATAACTTTTGCACTGTCCACTTCCTGCTGTGACAAAACAAATTTCCCACGTGTGGGACTAATAAAGGTTATCTTATCTTATCTTATCTTATCTTACTCACTTAGCCCCACATAAGGACTGCCACCACCATGTTTCACTGTAGGCACCATGCATTTCTCTTTGAAATCCTCACCTTTACGACGCCATACAGTTTTGAAACCATTAGTTCCAAAAACAGTGATCTTTGTCTCATCACTCCAGAGTATATAGTCCCTGTAGACTTCATCTTTTTCAGCATGGGCCCTAGCAAATTCTAGCCATGATTTTTTGTGCATGGGCTTTAGGAGAGGCTTCCTTCGTGGACATTACCCATGCATGCCATTCCTCTGCAGTGTGCGCTGTATGGTGTCACAGGAAACGGTCACTCCAGTTTGGCTTTCTACCGCTTTAGCTAACTGCAGTGAACTTCCATGGTGATTTTCTTCAACCCTTCTCATCAGGAGACACTCCTGTCGAGAGGTTAACATCCGTGGACGGCCTGGACGTCTCTGTAAGATGGTTGCACTTCCATCTTTCTTAAATTTCTGGATCACTTTTGCTACAGTATTTTGGCTGATATGTAAACCTTTGCCGGTCTTCTTGTAGTCCTCACCTTTTTTGTGTAAAGAAATGATTTCCTTTCTTGGATTTTGTGACATTTCTCTTCTATGTGGAGCCATTGCTGACAGCATGAAATGGGAAGAGCTTTTCTTTGTTAAGCCACCTGTCTGCTGGACACCTCTTAAATGAATCATTAGACCCCCTGTGGTTGAATTCCTTTTAATTTGAATTTTGTAGTCTTAAACTGTGGCTTTTCTCTATAGACTATAATTGGGGTGTACTCATTTTTGCGACATGGGCGTGAATGAATTTGTTAGAAAAATCTAATTCATTCACAAATCTTGTTTGCAATCAATGCCCCACATTTGTGAGAGTATTTTGTAGTATAGTATCTCGTGGAAAATGTTGACTCTCAAAGGAAACTAAAGGTTTTCTGACAAATGTAGTGGGGTGTACTCATTTATGCTGAGCACTGTACTTGGGATTTGTAGACAACTATTGCACTGACCATTGTTTTTGCTACATTTGGAATACTTCTGGTTATTTCTTTATGTTAGGATGAAGAAGAAGCTCCTATATTAGCTCTTAATTGGCTGACTGTTAAATATAAAATTGAAAATCATTCCCCTCATGTAAAGGGTCTCAAATAATCAGGCCCCATTATATCTTAAAGATCTCATAATGCACTGAGCATTTCTTTTCTCAGCCTTTTTCGCTTCCCGTGTGATTTTACTGCATTTAATCATTAATAATCATTTAACTCTCTCTCTCTCTCCATTCTTCCTCCCTTTGCGCTCTTCTCTTTCTTCTCACTATTATGAGGTTTTTGCCCTAAAAAATAAATCATACCTGTCAGTACAATATAATTCTTCAGATCTATTCATCAAAATACAATAACGTGCTATCTGGAAGGTAACTCTTATAGATAACAGGCAACTCTTGGTTTATATTTAACTAAACAGATCACAATTTACTTAGAGAATGTACATTAAAAGATAGGTTTACAGTGTGCAGCGAGTAAGGTGACACAATCCCAAAAAAATAGTTTCAAACAAGTACCTACAAAGTAGGTAAAAGGTCATCTGTGGGCTGGTAAACCGGTTTCAGGCAGGTGAATAGACGACAGACATGCAGAATCAGCAGAACCATGCACACTGCTAAAGAGTCTTATGTAAACTGCCTGCATAGTGGTGTAGTTTTCCCTGATGGGCCTAAACACTGTTTTAAAACATTTAAAATGAAACAGCCAGAAAATTCGAACATTAATGATTTGGCGGAAACACGGAAAATGACCGGACTCATTTCTTCCTCGGACAAATACCTGAAAACCAAGAGGTGATGCTGAAGCAAATCAGCCAAAAATGTTGCTTTTCCCAGGTTTATTGGAATTGTAAAGAACATATAATATGACAGGTGGAATAAAAAATAAATTAAATACAGATAGAGAATACAAGAGAGTAGTTACGACTAATAAATAACATGCATAAAAATCTAATCAGCAGCAGTGATATATGTGCATGCTACATTATGTTTAATTTAAGGCTTTAGGCTGAAATGTATATTTAGAGACACAACATTTTAAGCTAAGCAGGACAGTTTGCTTAGAAGAATGCAAGTCTAAAAGATGCAGAACGCAATACAGCAGATACCTAAATTCATTCAATGCTGAGGACTCTTTTCATCATAGACAGCACAGCTGACTGTACCAATATACAGCAGATTTTAACATCCTAAAGCAGTGGTTCTCAAGCCATGTCCTTCTGGGAGAAACAGAGCCTTGACATTAGGATGGCCAAAGACACAATGTGAAATTAAACCTATTGTCATTCTTGAATTTTGCACAATTTCAGAAACAAACTCCAGAAACATTTGCATATTTGGAGCTTGGCTGAAGGTGAAGGCAGTAAACATGACACCCGTTAATGCCACATGACGTGCTTGTACCAGGGAGCAGTCAAGTTAAAGAGGTCACATGTGACTTCTGAAAAGTCCCTAAAAAGTTCAGGGCTGTAGTGCTTGTTTAAATACAAAAATTGTGGCACTCCTGAAAGTGAACATTTCAAAAAAGCTTGAGAATCAATGCTCTGAAGAAACATTAGGGGAGCATGTTTCATAAATATCAAGCACAAAGGTACACACAGTAGTGCCTGCACTAAAGCACTTTGGTCTGGTCAAGTCGGACTCTACGTGGATTCAGTGAGTCCTGTACATACAACACAAAAACAACATTTTTTTAAAAAGGCACCGTAGAGTCAGAGAAAAAGGAGAGATCATGGTAATGTGTGAACATGTGCGTGTTTTCCCCACAACAGAATTCTACTCCATCATGCATTGTTTTCTGAGCGCTTGTCGTTGGCCAGCCTGTCTCGTTCTCTGTGCCGCTGGATGGCTCGCCAGATCCGGCAGAGGATTCCGCCCCTGAAAGGAAGCATAGATGTTGTTACAGCACATCACACCTACATGTGCATGTTAATTATTAGCTAAAAGTATAACTTGAAAAAGGCAGTAAAAAAGGCTGTAAGGTTAACTCTCTTATCGCTTATGTCCTTTGAGGTAAAAAAAAAGGATGATAAAGTCTTATCAAACACATCAGTACAGCAGTCTTGTGTGGGAAATCTTGCCAGAGCATATGAAACAATGGTTTGTCACAAAGCAAAACCATTCAATCTGTCATTGTTTTTGGTTAAAATGTTGCTGTTTTACTGAGTCAAAATGCTAAATCATATATTTGTGATAAGTGGTAATCTGTGGGGCTAATCTATTAAGTTGGTATGCAGTACTATAGGCCATGGGAGAAGCTAATGGCAATGGGTCAACAGTTCTGAAGTATTTTATAGCTGCAAAACAAACATTTGTTGTATGCTTGCAAAAGTCTGACTTTATTTAACTCTGACCTATTACTCTGTGACAGGAGATAACCGAGGTCAGCAGCATCCCTAGTTTCTAAAAGACTTTTGCAGTTATAAACGGTAAAATGACATCAGACCACTTCAGAAGAGGCTATTCGTACAGTGAGATACCATTTAACCTTGTGGAAGAAAAATGGTGTGATTTAACCATTCTAATGTTTTCTGGAACATCAGAGGAGTTTGGAAAGTCAGTGACCTATAAAAGGTAAATGTCAAGGAGGCAATGATGAAGATTTACTCTTCATGTACTTGGAAAGAAATGTATGACTTTTATGAAATGTGTTTATTTCTCAGACTGCAGGACTAGCTTTATATAACTTATGTGCAGATACCGTAGATGTAGGCACCGGAGGTCCTCTTTGGTAACGTCACGAAGAATGTCCGTCAGTGTATATTCCTCAAGAACAAACTAGGACAAAACAGAAGCACTCTTACTTTATATTGACGCTTCACTGCCACGGTGCACTAGAATGATAAGCTGCACACTAATGGCCTATATAAAGATACTCAACCTTGTCTATGGTGTCGGGGTCTGCGCCCTGCTCTTTCAGCCAGTCGATGAGCTGCTTGTCTGGCTCATGGTCTGCTGGGATGTGGTGGATGGATGGAGGTGAAATGTCTGAAACGACAGGTATAAGAACACTTTGCTCAAAGTACATGTTGATCTTCAGTATTAACCCTTTCTGGTCACTACACTGAGCAGCCAGTCAAAGGCTGTTTTCTTGTATTTGTGTCAGTGTTGATGGTATACTTGCACATAAAACACTACATTGCACACTTATGTGTCACTCCATACCCTGCCACCCAATGGTCGTTTAATGTTAATATACTTGGATGACGTGTTACATTGTAATTACTGTTATTTAACCCTGTCATGCATGAATTATGACAACCTCAATCAGGATTTTTCTTTTAAGTACTTAATTCATCCTCCATGCCTAAAGATAAATAAGATACTTAAGAAAAAAATCCTGATTGAGGTTGTCATAATTCATGCATGACAGGGTTAATGATCTCTTCTCCATGACGACAGCACAAGAATGTTAGATCATCACTTTGGCACCTATACATGTCAAACTAGCTGCACAAGCAGCTACAGGCTGACGTGCAACTTCAAAGAGATGTACACTAAACTTGACAAGGACTTCAAAATAATGCCGGGGGCTTTTAAAAATAGCCGCAACGAGAAAAAGTCCCCGGCAAAGAGCCAAACTCAAACCACTAATTAAAGCACAGCTCTCTCTTAAATTCACAGGATAATCTGAAATATATACACATTACCACGTAAAGTTCTGCTGCTCCAACTGTCTGACCCCCAAATATTTGAACTGCAATATGTGGAAGTGGAAGAAGTCTTTTCTCACAATATATGGATCATCAGTAGAGGACATAAAATTGATACCTATCATTATCATTGGGTGCAGCACTCTAAATAAATTAGAGTGTGTGAGAGACTGCACTTTCAAATTTCCATTAGGCGCTCAGGAGGGTTTTAAACCAGCTGGATTAGAGATTAATTACACTAAAGAATAGAGTCTTAGGTAAGGAGGCTATAATGTCTTTGAGAAAGATTCAAGGGAAAGGCATTTGTTTAGATTTAAAACCTTCCTGTTGGATTAAGCTGTACAATCTATTTCCCCCTACTTCCTCTTTTTCATAACAGAAGAAGAAAAAAGTGTTTTTGTATCACGATCAAGCAGTTGTGAACATAAGCCCTATATCATTAACTTACTAATAGAAATAGAAATGTGCAATAGAAGCTGCTAAAAATGCTATAGCATTTTGTATTTTTTCACTGTTTATACTGGTGGAGTGTAGAGTAACTAACTCTCAATTACAATTTCTGATCCCATCTGCAGAAGATTTAATTCAAAGCCTGAAACAGGATTTGAGGAATTCTTGGTTTTCAGATTTCCACAAAAAAATACCATAAGCATTACCACTGAGAGCAACAGGTTTCCAAACATTGTAGGTTTAGAACAAACATTTTTTAAGAATGAATTGAATGATAACTAGGACTTAATACAGGTCCATCCACAACTATTTGGACAATGCAACACAGGATCACTCCCATCTCCATCTGCATCCTGACCCATGGAAATTACATTTTATGGCTCTGGCCTGAAGCCTTCACTCTCACAATGGCTCTAGTCTTGTTCAGCTCTTCCTGCAGACTGTGTGGTCATTCACTACCTTATCTTTTCCATGGAGCCCAGAAATCTTCCCGTGACTAAACTTTGTTCAGATGCTGGTAGAGTTTATTGCTCTTGGCTATCTGGCATTAATTTGTTTGAGATTAGAAGCCTCATGCTAGCAGTCGTAGTACCTACATATCTGGTTACGAGTTTACATTCCTTTTTATTTTGGGCGGGAATCACATTTCAGATGTAAAAACACAACCTACTAAGTGTCAAGCACATGTCAGCAGTGCTGAATTATTTACAATATTATCTGTGGAATATTATCATACATTTATGCAAAAAATAAATATATAAATTATATAGTGTTACCACAACTGAATCCCAACCTAACTCAACCCTAACATTATTATCCAGTATTCTTTTCCTGATCTAACTCCTTATGGATATGGATACAGGGTCTAATTTTATAGACTGTGGTCTCTGATTTACAATACTTCTTTTTCAGAAATTGCAACAAATTAACAACATTAAATAACATTAAATCTTACTTAAATCTCTATTATCTAGTCTCATCTTAAACATGCAAATACCTTCAAAATGTTCCTAGCCTTCTTCCCTGGAGAAATAAGTCTTTTATGGAACCAGTTTAGAAGTCAGATTGTAAAAGTTAAGCATATTTAAACATGGCACTTTTTCTTAGCAGGGAGTGTGTGAGTGACTCAGTTTACCTGGGGGTCTGTGTCTGACTCGGACCAACTCTAAATCATGTGTTCTCTGCTGCAGGGTGGCTTTCAAGACCTGCTGGTACTCCTTCTCCTTTTGTAGCAGCTCATCCAGCAGCCTGCAACAACAATAATATCTGTTAAGTTAATTTCTATAGTTTCTCCTGGTATACACAATGTAAATATGTTTGGACAAACTATTTTATACTGAAACTTCCTGCTTTGAAATTCCATAGTGGAACTGATTTGGACACACGCATTAATGTCAGTTATTGGTAGGAGCTATAGCTACACAGTACAACGGCTAAATACAAGAATCGCATTATAGTGCATTACACAATTGTCAAACAAGCGAAAATCCCCAGTTCTATTTCAGGAGGAGACATAAATGCCTTTGGGATTATCTCTAGTGTAAAAACCATGCCAAATCAAACATGCAGTAAGCAGCTAAAAGTAGATTTTTACATTATGACTAAATCGACATGTACAAGCACAGGGCTAAAGTGCAGATGCAGTTTTTACAAAGTCAACATGAGTATCAGACTGTTCTTTGCAGTCCCATTTCCACTGTGGTACTTATTAATAAAGTTTCCACGAGGCTATCTCAATTAAAAATTCAAAAGTCTGCAGAGAGTCAGCTGCAGGTGTGTTGTTTGAGAGTGTTTGAGAGGCAAAAATGAAGCAGAAATGCTGAGAACAAATACCAAAATCTGAATGAATGGCTGAAAAAGATTAAATCTAAAGTAATGAACTAAAGCGTCTTAAGTTGAAGTTACTAATAGCTAAAAGCAGTAAAGGAAAAGCTAAAAAAAAAGGTGATGATGAAATCACTGATCACATGTCTCTTGATGGTATGAATGAAGACATTATTGCGTTTGATAGATGCCACTCACATGACCGCATTTGTGAGCCAGTAAGGAAAAACAAAACAACTTGAAATGCAAATGTAAGAGCTGAGGAAAACCCCTCTCTGTATCATTGAAGCATGGTGCCAGTAATTACCATCTGATTAAGGTGATTACTGGCACCATACTGTTTTGTGTATTAGGACTGTGCAGAAATTTGCTCCATTTCATGCCCCTGTGGGTATGTCAGCCACCTATCATAAACAGCCCTGAAGAGATAGTGACAGTGTACGTGGGTATGCTTGTAACCTCACGTTCTGTCCTTGTTTTCCGCTTCCTGCTTCAGTTACAAGTGGAAACCTGTGCATGCAGGCCTGGAGAAAAAATTCCACATGAGCCTGTGAAGGTTTCCACCTGACCTTAACCGTGGTAAACAAAACATTTAATTAAGTGGGTACCTGTTGGTTTCGTGTTTGAGCCTGCCCAGCTGGGCGCCTAGATGATGATGTGAGCGTTGATGTTCGTGGGAGTGGGAGGAGTTCACAGTGCTGACCGCAGAGTGTGTGTGATCGGACGTTGTCCCCGTCTCGTCAGTTTGCTGCACTAAAATGGGTCCAAACTCTGCTTCCTCCTCATCGACCTCGTCTTCCTTTTCTGCTCCCTCACACTCTGACGCCGGGCCAAAGTGGGTCTGCAGCTCTATTGTGTTAGTAAAAAAGTCATAGGTCAAGGTAATTGATGTTATGTTGTTGGCTTTCTGCGAGCACTCTACTACTTAAACTACTAAACCATAAATCGGAAAAGTAAAATAGCATGGATGTTAATGTCCACTAGATGGAGTAAAAAGCTTATGACAGGCTGCAGCTGCCAGAGATGCCCACCTGGTATAAGGATGGTTATTGCAGCCTGCACAGCTCGTCGGATGATGTTATCCATGGCAAACATCCAGTGGGGTTTAATGTGGTGATTTCTCAGGACCTTGTTCACCTGAGAAGGTCCGCACAGACATTTACAGTATAGACACTTTTATTTGTAGTTTTTTTTTCAACACTCACAAGATTCCACACTCACTATAGCTGGTTGTACATTTATTCGATTGTTTTTGGCAAGATGTCTAGTGGAAAACGTGGAAATACTTTTTAGGGCCTTTTTAATTGGCAGTTAAGGACACCAATTAAAAAACAAACTGTCATTATTGTCAGAGACGAAAGGTACAGAAAGTAAACTGAACTGAAGTCTTCTTTCTGGGGAGGGCAGAGGAGGTAGCACTCATCATCTACAAATCAAAGGTTGGTGATTTGATCCCTGGCTGCTCCAGTCTGCGTGCCAAAGTATCCTTGGGCGAGAAAATGAACCCCAATTTGCTCTCTAATGAAACAATTGGAATGAAACCATGCGTGTGTGTGTGTGTGTGTGGGTGTGGGTTAGTGCTGACCGAGTCCTGGAAACCAAACAACACCAGCTGAATCTGGTTGATGGATGTGGAGTCAAAGTCGAGGTCCAGCTTGAGCTTGGAGATGGTGGCCGCCATGACGCGCCGCTCCGGGGAATGGATGAAGTCTCGAAGGATGCAGATGATCTGCTTGATGTGATCGATGGACAGCTGGAGATCCTCGCTACCCTACACACAGTTTTAGCAGAGTGTGCAATTTAAGCCTAGTGATCAATAACTGTAGCATTACAAGCCCATATTATTAAGATTATTATAAAAAATTTAAAAATTATAAGTGATTTTGTAGATTTTTGTTCCTGGTTGGGTTGTATCTTTATCTTTTAGGATTTTACCCTGTGCAATAAAGTACATTTCTTTATCTAGGGAAGGATATTAGTATTCTGAAAGACCAATTACGCCCCCCAATGGAAGAATCAGGAACAACAGTTATTTTAGATTGCAATTAGGCTCCCTGTGACTGCACTGGATTCATGGTAGTGAAACAGTAATGACAATCTGTGTTGCAAATTGCTCAGACATAGATCATAGGGGTATAATATGAAGCAAGTCTAACATAGCCAGGCTTTCTTTGGTTTGGTAAAATCTGAAACCCCAGCTGGGGTATCATGATCCAGATTTCATTACGGTGGTTATCAACTCTTCCCATTAACCCCAGCTTTATGCTTAGAGCTCTGTGTGCACTTGATTTGATGTATCACTTGACTCTTCTGCACAAAATGGATCATTGGGACACCGTCTACTCGAGAGTCATTAACAGATGAGCAGGTAGCAAAAATTTCTAGATAAAAACTGCAATTTGTGTTAGTATGTATGGCTCTGTAGGTTATATACATAAAATATATTCCTTCAGCAGAACATCTACACCACACTTATACAGTGCTGTAAATAAAAGAATCAGTGAAAGCGTGGCATTTCCAGCCTATATTAAATTCTCAACATAAACTGCTCCAAAGCAGGTTGTGATTAGCAGAAGTTACCTGTAAAATGTGGCTTATGATCTGCCCTTGTTTCCTGGAGACAAAGCCACTACTTTTATAACTAAAACGTTAAACTGGGTCTTCCAGGAAAGCTGAGTCATCATGTTTGCTCAGGTGAACAGACCTTTCTCTCCACAACAATATATGTCCCCCGAGTGTGCTTCTGGAACCAGACTTATATCTCCACTCTATATATAACACAAGTAGACACACACACACCTGCATGTGATTTTCCCTGAGGTTGGAGATGACCTTTTCCTGGTCTTCATTGAGGACCTTGTACAGAATGGCCCGTCTCTCGCTGTCCTTCTTTAGCATGAACAAACCACTGTCCCTGTCCTCAGGAGATGGGGGAACAGAGCGGTCCTCTGATACTGAACCCTCATCAGGCACACTGCAACACACATACACACACACACAAAGTTACCTGAGAAGCACATAAAACAAGACATGAAGTGAACAGATGATTTACAGCAGTGTGCTCTTTAATTTATTTACAGATACAAGCCTCTCCTGGCTACTCTGTGTGCAAAGGAAAGTGCAGAAGTAGCATGAGTCAGCGCTGCGTGACGTGCATGCATGTGTGCACATTGGTGCTCGACTGATGTGTGCAGAGCCACCAGCTGAAGCTTGTAAAATTATCAGGACTCGTTAAATTAGTATTGTAAAAGGCAGCGGAGGACGGTGTGAGTGCAATAAGGCCACCTGCTATCTGCACACACAGATGCACTCGTTCATTTACATCGTTTCACATGATCTGAGCTTCAGCACCAGCAGCAGGATTTCTTTGCAGAAACACATTGTTTCATTGCTCTAATAATTTGTAAAACAATATTTTAAAAGGAAACAGTTTTCTTAATGCCATCCGATCCCAGTCTGATGCAAAATCTCAGTATGTGGTTTCAGACACACCTCAGGTAGTTAGAACTGGGAGGTTTGAGCAGATTCTTGGAGCCAGAGCTTTTCCTCTTGTCAAAGAATATGTCGTGTTTTGCGTCGCAGTCGGGACTCACAGAGCCATGCTCACTGCTGCTACTGCCAGCGGCCTCGCCTTGCACCTGCACTGGCAGGGAGATGTTAGGGATATAGTCTGAAGAATACATAAAAAGAAGAATAGGAATAAGACATGGGCAAGACAATTAAAACTTAATACACTCACACATAAGGACATTTTGTCCTTTACCCATACTCAACTTTATTATATGACTTTTTATGGCCATTCACCATTGCATTTCATCCTGCTACTTGTATCACACCATCAATAAAACCTAGTGACCCAGCTCCACTGGCAGCGCTACATGCCTACTACCATAACACTGCCTCTACGATATTTGCCAGATATGCTTTGGATAATGCTGTTTCTCTCCTTCTCGACATATTTATCTTCCCATCATTCTGGTACAAGTTAATGTTAGTTTTCAGATTCAGATTCAGAAGACTGAAAAGGCAAAAACACAGGGGCAATTAAGAGACTGACCTTGCAATTAAATTGAATTAAATTGAATTATAGCTTTAATCACATGATGTTGTTTTTTTTTTTTTAAATCCACTGTGGTGGTTGGTCAAATGTTGAGGGTTAGGGTAAGGAAGCCTAAATGCAATAATGTCATTTTCTGTGACATAGTGTGACCTTCACTGATTGGGTGGGAGTGTCACAGTCCAGGGTCAGTGACCCAGTGTTTTAAGTTTTGTATCATTACTGAATTTTGATTTTGTCATCGTTTATCTTTTCTAGTCTTTTGGGCTCTGTTTCTGTGACCCATGGTTACGGTCAACTGTATCCTAGTCAAGTCTGTGTCTGTGATGTTTCCTGTTTTACTTTGAAAGTCTGTGTCCTATGTCAATGTATTGAGTTTTGCTTCATCTTGGTCTTGTCATGTCAGATTACTCCCAGCTGTGCTCTCCTCCTGTGTCTCATTCCCCTCGTTATCCCTCAGTGTATTTAAGCCCCGTGTTTCTCTTTGTCAGTGTTGCGTTGTCTGTTATCCATGTCATAGTTAATCATAGTCAGTCTGTTATTCGAGTCATCATGTATCTTAGTTTTCATGTTTCCACCCGCCATCAGCCAAATAAAGGCTCGCTCTTTGTTTGATTTCAAGTTCTGTTCTCCTGGGTCTGCATTTGGGTTCACATCTGAAAAGCACCGGCTGCTCAGCTGTGACAGTGAGAAATATATGTGGTTTTATGACCTCACACAAAGGGAAGAAAAACCAGTTTGGATATTACTGGTTTCTCACCTGTATTTTTTTTAATCAAATAGCACTACTATTTACATGAGCATCACAAAAATCATGCAGTAAAACCCATTTGGAAATGTGATGATATTTTTGTGGCATTGTAGTAATGTCTGTATTTACCTGGTGATTTGAAGGCGATCTTACTCTTCTTGCCCTTGGTGTTGTGCTTGACAAAAGTGTCTCTGAGCAGGTCCAAGGCGATGGCCCTCTTGTGAGGGTCGGGCTCAAAGCAACGTAGAATAAATGACTTGGCCTCCTGTGACAAAGACTCTGGAATCTCTGGGTGAATTTTAAACATGCCAACCTGAAGTGAGAGACCACAGAGATTTAGTGTTAGAAGAAAATAAACATGTGTTTTGCAAATAACTGGACCGCTGAAGGCTGGAAAGGTTCATAAGTAAATACGCAAACTAACACAAATAAGCTCAGTGTCTACCTTAAACATGGCTGCCTGTGGTTCCCCCAGCTCATGAAAGGGAGGTTTCCCAGTGGCCATTTCTATAATGGTACATCCCAGGGACCAAATGTCAGCTGGTGCCCCATAGCCTCGAGGGCCCTTGTCAATTATCTCTGGAGCCATGTACTGCAAGGTACCTTCAAGTAGAGAAGTATATCGTGTAAGCATTTGCAACACAGAAAGAGATGCAAGAGAGTCAACAAATCCATTTTTACTTGCAAACCAAGACTATGAAGTAGCAAAAGGCTGCTTCTGTTAGCTAATATTTTTATAACAGTGTATACCCTGACTGGACATTTTATTGCATGGCCTTGCACACAAAGTGCAATCTGAGGCGAAGATTAAAGATAGATAGATTTCAGAAGAATTTTATTTTGTCTCCCAGTCTGCTCAGAAATTCTGTGCAGATTGGCATTTGCTCCAAATGCTGATGTAAATAGAGAGCCAGCAAGAGCTATAAAAAAGGAGAGTGAGACAAGAGCAAGTGATGCTCCAGAGAAGAAACGGATAAGGAAACACACACACAGACAGCTCCTAATGAAAGGTAAACACCCTTCTGCCTCTGCTTGATTAGCTAATCTAATTACACACCTTGCTGGCTGCTGGAGAAGGCCAGATGGCCAATAAATGTGTATGTCAGTACATTCGCATGCACTCATGTGTCTCTCTGTTTCCATAGAGGCTGATTGTGGCTCTTGACATTTTGAAGGTCATTTGATATTTACACTCATAGTCTGAGAGTGAGCATATCTCAGACTCCATTTATGCATCTCAGACTGAATTAGTCTGTTTATGACAGGTCAGGGCTCGTGTGTCTTTTTGTGACATTGGAGTTAAAGAGAAATGAAATTGCTCATTGTGCATTTTTCTTCCAAGCAGAACGTTTTTAAGTTGTTCACGTCTGAGAACTTCGTGGGATTTGTGAGATTATTATATTATCGTTATACCCCTAATTAAAGATTGTGAAATCATTGTGTAGTTTTAGTTTGCATTATTCTCCTGACTAAGAAGAAGGTGATAACTATTACAGTTATTAAACTGATTTGTATTACATTAGACTGCTGATTTATTGTGAATGAATGATATTGTTTTATGATGCATTATACGGCTGAGGTATAAAAAATACTGTTTTCAGAGAGTCATCACCTTATTTGTCTGAATAGAAAAGAACAGAACATAAAGCACAGGAAGGCAAGATCATAACTTAGGCTCACTGAGAGAGGGGGGCTGAAGCTATAAGAATTGGAGGAACGCTCAGACACTTCGAGATCAGGCGGACTCATCTCCCATCCGGATGGTTTATGCTCATAAAGTGTTGAATTGTATGGAATAAAAGCTTGTTGATTGAGCATTTATACACCGAGTATTGTCCTTCCTTCAGCCCAACGATCAAAAGAATTGGGAGCATTTAACAGATTACTGTTATTACAAACTTCAACTTAATCCCTGGGCTATTGTTTGAAATTTCTGTCAGTCATAGACAATGAACAGTTTAAATGGTTAGCTAACAGCATAAACAAATGGTACATGAACAGCTTTGGGCTGTTAGCTACACAAAAACAGGTGAAATTAGTCACCAATAGCTGTTACATGGAGTAGCAGCTAAAAGTAGGGCATGAATGATTTTAATAGTAAGCTAATACTTTTGAACAGTTTGAAGACTTGTGTGTTTGTGTACATTGCACATGGCTCTCGGGGTACATCAGATGAAACCACCGTGTTAAACTATATTCTAGCAATAATGAATTGTTTTTTATAGATATTGTAATATTGAAAGGCTGTTTCTTTTATTTAATGCCTTTGTAATCTCATTGTTTAGGTTTTAGGTATACTGTATATATATATATATATATATATATATATATATATATATATATATACATATACATATATATGTATATATATATGTATATATATATACATATATATATATGTATATATATATGTATATATATATATATATACATATGTATATATGTATATATATACATATGTATATGTATATGTATATATATATGTATATGTATATATATGTGTATATATATATATATGTATATATATGTGTGTATGTATATATGTATATATATATATATATATATATGTGTATATATATATATATATATGTATGTATATATATATATATATATATATATATATGTATATATATATATGTGTATATATATATATATATATATATATATATATATATATATATATATATATATATATATATATATATATATGTATATGTGTATACTGTGTATATATATATAGTTTTTTGTTGGGTTTTTTTTAATGTTTTGATGGGTTTTGATGGGTGTTTATATGTATTTTAAAACCTGTTGTAAAATTCAAATTCTGCAAGATGATCGAAAAGGTTACCTGTGAATGTTTCTGTACAGGGATTGACTCCTGCCAACCGTTTTGAGGTACCAAAGTCAGAGATCTTCAAGACACCACTATAGGTGTTAACTAGGACATTATCACCCTAAAAAGAAACAAATGAGGAGAGATTTAAATGCATTGAACTATGTGGGTCATTATTATTTAAACTGAAGCCTACAGAATTATCACCAATTATCACCAAGTACTTCCCCATCAGTAATGGGGTTCCACGAGGCTCTATTCTTGGCCCTGTCATTGTTCCCACTGATCTTCAGTGCTGTTTCTTTCTAGTTATTCTTTTTTTTTTCTCTCCACCTATGTGATACATATGCATATGTGTGTGATTTGATAGGTTTCCCTGGAGTTCTGAGATTTTCTGAGGGGCATGCCCACTAACCCATTCTCATTGGATCTTTGGTCGGCCCACCTCGTCTACTAATTTTTCGCCTGCAGTACGAGGACCAGCTCTGCAGTTTTGCCATTTGTACACATTTATGGCTCTCAGTGTCTCAGGTCCCTCTTGTGTGTCAGCTGTCAGCAGTCTCTTAGCCTCATTTCTAAAGTCATTCACCCATAAACCTACTTCTGATTTATCTGCTTGCTCACTCTCGACCAATTCAGAACACCTATGTCTCAGGCACGTCAAACTGACTGATGTATCTTAACATGAATGTACTTTTGCAGGCTCAGATGCCAACTAACACAGTCTCAGCTAAGAATGACCAAAGCTGACTAAAGACACCCTGAAAAAAATCCCTCCAGAAATGTGACATTGATGTAAAACAATAGGAAATCATGGAAGCTAACAGGTTGCAAGCTTATGAGAATAAGAGACAAAGTAGCCAAGTGGAAAAGTGTGCATCTTTGAGGACGAGAACCAACATAAGTGTCCAGTATGTGGTCGCCTTTGTGCATCAGACTTTGGCCTGAGATCCCACATGATGGTGCACAAATGAATGGTTTTAGGTTGGACTTGAGGACCACAATACTCGACCATATAGTCTCAGTCAGCAAGAAACTCATTCATCCTATGTAATGCTCAATACTTTAATGTCTTTTCTTCCAGACAAGACAACTTTGTATCCACAAGCTCAAACCTAAGACTACTTGTAAGTTTCTTTAAAAAATAATTTTAACTTGAAATTCAGTCATAATGACATTTCACTTTATAGAAGTAACAGCTGTGTTCCTCAAAGATGTATCATGGCAGGCGGGGTTCCTTCTACCTTGATGTCTCGGTGGACGATCTGGTTTTCATGCAGGTATCGGAGACCTTCCAGAATCTGTCTGGTGTAGAAGATAATTGTTGCCTCCTTCAGAGGACCCCATTTCGACCGTAACAATGCAGACAGACTTCCTGGAGAAAAGAAAGAAGGCGTGTCCAAAGCCTATCTTAAAGGTGGAAAAACACCCTCGGTGGTCATAAGCATATCTCTCTGAAATAGATGAGCTTTAGAGAAAACATCATTTAGACACAATATCTTATATGTTGTTTTTCTGCTTAAGACATTTTTTTTGCCTTTTCACTGAGGCTGAACTAGATGTATACTGCAGTAAGGCTACCTAATAGGAGGTAACACAAGACAGCTTCTATTACACAGAATTGTGTCTCTTTCTGTGGTTTGTACAAACATACCTCCAGGCACTTGTTCCATGAAGATCTTAATGTATCCATTCTCAGAAATGGAACCCAAATACTGAACAATGTTCCTGTGCTTCAGGTACTTGTGAAGAGCGATCTCTTCATGAAGGGGCTGAGAGTACCTGTCCACGGAAAAGAAAACAGACATCAGAAAAGACAAATTGCATTTCGTACCCTTGCTTTGTGTGTTATTTGTGTAGGTTCTGTTTTATCATTAACTACATTCACATTGGTATTAACACTGGAAATAACATTATCTGTTCATTGTCCAATAATCCAGACACATTTGCTGCAAAGTAAATTATTAAAAATTAAATACTGGTAAAACATTGCTGCAAGCTCCTATTTGTTTTTGTGTGATTTAAGTTCAACTGTAAAATAAAGACTGTTTGCTCTTTGTGTTACTACAACATAATAAACTCTTAAATATACTAAATGCAATTACTGCATTTACTTTTATTTATGTGGAAGAAAAAAACTGAATTTGCCATCAGTTCTCCATCAGTAAAATTTAAATATTTTAATTATTATATATATTAAGCAAAGTTTATGCATTTCTTTTGTTTTGTCAGCTATGCCAAAAAGACTTGGAACCATGAATGTAGGTTGGTAGGTCAACCTACCTGCTGTCTCTTTCAGGGATCTCTTTGATGGCAATTCGGACTTGGTTGCTGAGATCTCTCCCAGCATACACCACTCCGTAGGTGCCACGACCCAACACTACCCTTTCCCCTGTCTCATCGGTGTCATATTCATACTGTAGCACAGAAAAACAGGCATAGAAATGACATATTTTCCATATTTTCCATTAAATATCTCACACACACGTGTGTGTGTGTGTGTGTGTGTGTGTGTGTGTGTGTGTGTGTGTGTGTGTGTGTGTGTGTGTTAGCACACTTTCAAGCTCACACTGACCTCTAGCGTATCTCCATCACCCTCCCCCTCCAGCTCCACAGCATTCCCAGTACCATCAGATATCATCTCTTTCACCATGGAGCAGAACCTGAAACACATAACACGACACAGACATTATTACAGTTATTTACAGTTCTAGGCCTTCAGATCACATCTGCGCATATAGTATGAAGTGTACAAACACAAACACGGACGGACACATGACAAACACACACCTACACAAACACATCTAGAGGTGTTTGTCCTCACCGACCGCACTGCTCCTCAGTAGAGAAATAGATCTGGAAGTCATCCGAGTTATCGTGGACGTAGAGGAAGCAGCAACGCTCATCGAACTTACTGATACTGCAGACAGAAGGGCCGCATTAGGCTGGGCACTGTTCTTTATTTTATTTAACTCTTCCTTATGCTGTATTTTATAACAGTCCTTTTCACAGATGAAAGTAAATCTCATTAGCGTGCAAAAAACTTACATTTGCTCACAGTATAATAATAATACATGGATATAAATGAGTAATTTAGATTGGTAAGCAGGAGAGCAGACAATCAAATTGTGTTGAGGGATTGTATTCTAACACGAAAAAAAGTTGTTTTATTCTATAGCCAGACTTTTACCTGGATCGTCAAATTGTATTTAAGAGCATGGGTGATGGGGGTTTTTTCACAGTAAGCACTGGCCATTAACCACGAGGAATATCCTTACTGATATTTGCATTTTTTTCTTTCTTCCTCCTCCGGTTGCACTGAGTAATTGAAGCTTTGCACAATATGTCACTGTTTTGAATATTGAGGCTGAACAGGTCAGCTGGAGATCCCTAATGATGTTCCTGGCAGCTAGTTCTTCTGTTTACTTCATGTATTATGGATATAGCTGCAGGGAGCCACAATTTATATGCTTGTTTGCACCACTCCTGAGTTCCCTGAGTTACTACAATTGCAGCCCAGGCCCATAAAACCACAAGAGAAATTTGAATTGAACAAAAATGTACGTTTTCTATTTATTTCTATTTGTTTCCCAAACATGTCTCTTGTATACCTAATGCCTTTGATGGACATTGCAGTGAAGTTCCACTCATGAATACCTTTCTGTAACAAAAAACAGAAGTTAATCAATCAACAAATAAAGTGTTTCAGCTCTAACATTTTGTTCCAGTAGGTTCTAGCAGGTAAATGAACAAATATGCATATATGTATATGTTTCTGTCTACTTAGTTGGACGGCTCCAGCCCTCTAGCATTTCTGAATTAGCATAGGTGAAGCAAATTTAGTTAATGCTGGCTCAGCTTTAAGTGTCTGCAACACACTTTTTCTTTTTTTTTCTACAATGATGAGTCAACAATCTTTAAACAGACTCCACATGGATGCAAAATAAAACTTGAATCCCAAAACTATCTGAGCCCAAACCTCCATGTACTCCTTACAAAAAAAATTAAAAATCAATGAAGCAGCATTATGTTCACCTGTCTTGAGATGTTTGACTACAATTAATGTGAAGTGTTATCAAACTTCGTTTCACTATAATGTGTTTGATCAGCACTGCATGTTAAACAAAAGGCAAGATGTAGGCTAATTTAAATTCTGATATAGCATTTTGGTGGTTTTTGTTGTTTACTGGTAATACTGGTGGTACTTCACCCTGGTATACTCGGGTGCAATTAAAATACTGGACAAAATGAGGGTGCAATGAGTTTGTGTAATTACGTGTTATTCAGTCACAATATGTGATGGAAGATTTCACATCAAAGTTCCTTCTGTTTGCATACATGTTGTCTGATTTAGTTTAAGTCATTCACCATTTTAAATTAATTTTTATTTAATATTTAGAATTTTTCCGAGCGGAGGACAATATTCCTAACAGGAAGATGATTAGATGGGCAATGCTCTGACCGTTTCAGCAGGAGAAACATGCCAGATGGAGACGTTCTTCTCTTCAGCCTCATTGTTGATAGACACATAGGATGGCTGGTAAACTTTGGTGGGCTCCAGAATCAGCACCTGTAAACACAAACACCAAAACATTTGATTTTGAACCCCTCAGTCATCATTTTTCAGCATGAATGCATGTATATGTTTACATACTGGAAACCGCAGTCTGTTGGTGGTGCACTGCGTGGCCTCGACGATGATGTCCATCCAGAAGTTGAGTTTCTCTCTCTGAGGAGAATGCTCCAAATTTTGCTTTTTAAACCTTTGGATCAGCTGTAAGTTCTGCACTACTGAACGCAAATACCTGGAAGAAAATACAACCAATTATAATCATTAAAATAAAAAGCATCACACTTACAATTCCTTGAAATTTTGTTTTCGTAAACTGTTTTTTTGTAGCATGTTTGGGCTTACTTAAATAAAAGAGTTGCATTATAAAAACAAATGTACTTTTGTAAGATGAATGTCCTGACACTTCACTACAACTATGAAAGCTGAATACATCTTTAAAAAATTGAGACCTGGGGATCAGAATGTGACCAAAATTTAAAACTAATCTTTATTATGAAAAACATGCATTGACATTGAAACTTTTATATATTTACAAGATCTTCTCTCTTACCAAACAGGTGGCTTCAGCTTGAAGAGCTTCTCTGCAGCCTGAGTAGCTTTAGGAATGTCACTCGCTAGCATGCTAACGGTGAAGAATTGGCCGACGTCCCAGTAGTTATTCATCTTTTCCAAGGAACCCTTGCGCCCCAGCAGGCTGTTCAACCTCACCCCTGATTATAAGAAGACAAAAAGTGAACATTGTAATTGCAGTCTGATTGAAACTGAAGTGGCATGGTCTCAGCTGACTTTTGTACCACAGAAATATCAAGAAAAGGAGCTACTGAATGCAAACTGAATGCTGAAAATACACAACTTAGGTGTTTCACATTGACTTGAGAGTCCGCTGAGAACAAGTCAAAGGGGGAATCAGGTTACCTATTTTTCTGAGTTCCATGGAGCTCTCGAATTGCTGGCCAGCAACTATGAGGAGGACAGCTAGGTTAATACCCGAGTACAGAGTGGGCTGCAGCTCAAAGCCCTTTCTGTACCTGACAGGTGGAAGAGGAAATACAGATGAATACACACAAGGAAACAATAAGATGTGAATAAGATGCATTTATTTCTGTGTGTTCTCACCACTGAATGGCGTTGTCCCTGTTTTTAGTGTCTTTGCAGTCAGAGTCGAGAAAAATGTCCTTGTAGATTCGTCCACAGAGGCAGAACATGTCTGGTGCAGGATGTTCGCAGGACTGCAACACCTGCAGCATCACTCTGAGAGCCTGCTCCCTGTCTCCAGGAGCATTCCTCCTGCACGTACATGCACATGCACATGAAGGAAAACGTTTTCATGAGACTGAGAAGTACACCTTTATTACTTCCATAGGAATTAAAAGTGCAAGTACCAGCCAGGTGTTGCTAATTAAATGCACTTGATAACTGATCATCAGCCTAACTACCTGCTCAAAAGCAGTTTGGGCAGTTTACTGGCCTGGAGTATTCGGGTGTGTGTTAACACAGGAGTGGCTGTTCTAGCAAATTCACCCTACGATCAGATCTTGTAATGTTTAGAGAAACTTCAAACAAAAAATCAAGAGCTACAGACTTTAAACACCTCAGTTAGCATGTTAAATGTTAAAGTTAATCACAGTACAATGAGAGAAAGCCTGAACAAGCTGCCTGGAGAAGGTATCTCTGCAGGACAGCTTAAGTTTGGAAAGTTCCATCTGAACAAACCGCAAGACCACCAGAACATTATCCTTTGGACAGACAAAAGCAAAGTGTAGATATGTGATCATACTTGACATCACCACGTTTGGTTAAAACCAATGACAGCATATCAGCATAAAGACTTTATATCAACTGTCAGCATGGTTGTGGAGGGGTGATGATGTGGGCTTGCTTTGCAGCCTCAAGACCTGGACACCTTGCAGTCATTGACTTGACCATGAACTTCTCTATATACCAAATCACTCTAGAGTAAGTGTGAGGTAACCTTCCAACAGCTAAAGCTTGGCTCAAGCAGGATTATGCAACAGAGCAATAATCCTGAACACAGCAGAAAATTTACAACAGCATGGCTGAAAAAGAAAACAATCGAGGTGTTGCAAAAGTCCAGACTCCAATCTGACTGAAATACTGTGGGGGAACCTTAAGAGAGCTGTGTATAAACAAGTGCCTGTAAACCTCAATGAACAAAAGCAACATTAAAGAAAATGTAAAAGAAGGCTGAGCCAAAATCCCTCTACAATGCTGTGAAAGGCTAAAACGTCATACAGAAAATGAAGACTTCAAGTTATTGCTGCTAAAGTTGTTAAATCATACAGTATACTTAATTTTCCCTGAACAACAAAAATGTATTTTTCACAGAATGCTAGACTTGTGGTCTGTTGCATTTTTGACATGCAGTTACTACATTTTTAGCTCCTGATATCACCACACTGCATATTTATGGTGCATTTTATATGATATGTTAGAATGAATGTCCTCAGTGAAATAAAGGCACAAAAAACAAAAAATGTGGGATCCCTAAAAATAATTAAAGAAGATAAATCTGCTTTACCACAGGGTTTGGGCATCAAAATGTTCAGTTTCATTGAGCTGCTGCGTACCTGTTCAGGGCAAAGGAGTAATGAAACTGGATCATGGGCTGGGTAGCCAGATCACATGTTGGCAGCATCTCCAGAGTCTGCACCAGTTTCACCATGGCATCATAGTCCTGGTTGTCAGAGAAGCCACAAAAGGGGCATTAAATTTAAACCTAATGATAATGCATTTAGAATATAAATGTCATTCTGAACTTCAGTCTGTAATAACTTTTAAGAAGTTCCCAGCTGATAGAAAGAAATGAAGGTCATGTTTGATGTGTTTGTACCTGTATATCTCTGTAGGAAAACAGCAGGTTCATGACAATGTCCTGTGTTAGGACCTCTGTGTTATCAATTCGGAGTTTAATGCGTGAAAGCTCCTTAGCCAGCTCCTCTCCCTGGTACTTCTCCCTAGCCTTCCTGATGTCGTTGAGCAGGGTGTCCTTAAAGGAAGCACTATATGTACACAGACAAGGAACAGAGGAAGAAAAGAAGCTTTCATTTTAATGTTGATCTAAAGAACAATTTTTGACCTCTAGTGGACCAACCCTTATTTTGCAGCAAACAGACATTACTTACTGTTTTGATGAGATTACTATTGAGTGCTAATGGTCAGTTGGTAGTACTAACAAAAACCTATGAACTATGATCCTCACTATAGACTCCTACAGTCGGAATACTGCATTGTGCAAAACAAATGCATGGAACATCCCTAGAATAATTACCTCCAACTCCTTTTTAATTTTATTTCTAAAGCACCTAACATCACAAAATGCTTCACGACAAAATACCAGAAGATAAAAACAAAAGGTAGCCAAACACAAGTCTAAAAAGATTCGTTTTTAGCTGTTTTGTAATAGAAAACACAGAGTCCACCTATCACAAGCTCAGAAGGAGCTTTTCAGAGTCTGGGGGTTACTGTTGGAAAAGCTCTGTCTCATCAGCTTTTAGCCTTGTATGATGCACAGCTAGCAGGCCCTGCTCAGATGACCTCAGGGACGTGCTGGAGACAAAAGGATGTAAAGGTTCACTGATGTAAGCTGGTGCTTGAAGCACCTTAAGTTAAAACCAGAATCTTAAAATGGACTCTGAAGTTAATGGGGAGACAGTGCTGCTGAGTCAGCAAGGGTGTGACGTAAGTACTCGGAAGACATTGTGTGAGGCGTCATAGCAGGTTTTGCTTAAACAAGCAAAGAATGAATCACAGTAATACAGAAGGGATGAAATCTGCTTGATTTTCAGTGCAGAGTGTGCAGATAACACCAGTGCCCTTACACACGACATTGGAGGTGGAAATTTTGACACCGATTTCTGTTATAACCTAATATTTCTTGTGAACAGGCTATTTTTGTTCATGCTTTAAGATGAAGATGATACATTTACCAGTGACAACTCATTTAACCAGTGTTGACACAGCAAATGACTCATTTTAAAAGTAAATATTAAGTTAATTTGAGATTAAGCTGATGTTCCAACACTTTGCAATATATTTAACATTTATCTTTCCAGAACACACCAAATAAAGCACTTTTATTGTACTGTAATAACATACTATACTTAAGTATGTTATTCAGATGGTGTTTTGTAAATTCTGTCTTACGTTATTACTTTACACTTCCGTTTTACTACATTTCATAACTAAGTATGGCACCACATTTAGCTGAAAGCCTATATTACTCCTTACTTAGTAGTTTGTTTGTTTGTTTTTTGGGTGGGGGGGGGGGGGTGCTTTTCTTGTAAATGACTGTGAGGTGCTGTTTCTGCCAAGCTCCAGAAGGGAAGGTGGGGCGGACATGAAGCACTGTTAGGTGGTTGACTGACACAGTATTGACTAATCAACCTCTGATTTCCTTAGAAATGGAAACTTGATGCAACACACACACACACACACACACACACACACACACACACACACACACACACACACACACACACACACACACACACACACACACACAAAGAGAGAGGCTGTGTTTTGAGCTAAAGACAAGAAGGGTTTGATTTTTAAGCACACATAGCTGTTACGTTGGTTGTGTGAGTACAGCAAAAATAAACATAGTTGCACTTTACAGTCTACATCTGCGTCTGTACTGGGAAACCATGATAGTGGGATTACAGCAGCCCCTTGTTTTCACTTGTATCTCACCAGGATGTTACGTGGATGTCCTTCAGCAGGCTGGTGAAGCGGTCGGTCAGGGGATCGCACAGTGGGCCCAGCAGGTTATCCCAGTTGGGCTGCATGTACTCGCTTGCCCTCCGTTGGGCATCGCTTTCACAGCACATATACTCGTGGTTAGGGGTGACTATGTAGGGGATGAAGTAGTAGTTACCACTGGATGCCTAGAAAGAGAGGAGAGAAGGTTTAATTACAAGTTGTTTACAGAAAGAAAAGCACTTTGACAGCTTTGTGCAAATGCCAGGTGTAAAAGAAGTCCAGGTGGAGAGAGATAAGGAGGTGAGAGTAGGGATTAGAGTGATTAATGAGAGGATCAGTGCACCACTGAGACTGTTTGGTAGCATCATACTACATCAGTGAAGGTTTCCAGAAGTAATAAGCCTCATGTACTAAGAACCACCTAACACTCTCTAACCTCTGCCTCTTCTTCCAGCTTTGCATATGAACAAATGTGATTACCTTTAAATCTGAAATTGAAATGATAAGCTTTGCAGGTACAAAAGCATTTGGCAAAGCATTTCAGGACTGACAAATCTTACACGCACTGCTGACTGTCTTTTTGTTGTGTTCATTCTTAAAACATATATTTCTACATCTTTTATTTAACAACTATATCACTAGATTTGTAGTTATTTAGTATGGTCGTCACAGCACCACACATCATTTTAAAGCAGTCACCATCATGATTTCATGCATCGAACGACAGCACTTTAGGCCACAGCAACTAGCTGCTTCTGATTTACACTTGTAAGTTTCTCCTGTTAAACTCTGTTCAGTTATATTCAGTGAGGATTGTTTCACAAACACTTTTTAGGTAAATTCCCCACAGTGGGATTAAATGCAATTCCATGATTCTTTCTGAGATGATGCAAATTTAATTTAGTGCAAAAACGCACATGCATCCAGCACTCTTAAAGCATGCTATAGCTGATTATCCATTGCTTCCTTTGTGTTGTTAGGGGCTTTAATCTGTTAACCACACGACATCCCAGGGAGAGGTCATTGTTTTCCATCCTCACTTCCTTGTCTGTTAGTATTATCAGTCAACTAGGGAATATCCCAGCATGCCTTGATGCAGGCCTGATACCTACTTTATTTCTCAGACCAGAGCCTCTGTATTCTGGAGGCAACTGAACCCAGGGAAAACCTAACGGTGGAGGACGAGCAGCCTACTCCACACACAAACACACATATACACAAAGAAGACAGCGTACATACAGTGAAGGTCAGTTTCTAGGAAAACTAACAAGTAATATGACTCTCGTTCTCGAGCCGGCCATTCATGATTTAACATGTGTGTACTTGTACACAATGTGTGTGAGAGTGTGTGTGTATATATATATATATATATATATATATATATATATATATATGCATTCCTGTCTGCATTTCTGCATGGGGGTGAACGGTATCTGCCAGGAATATTCCTCTAGAAATAGAAACAGATGGTGTGCACACAGAAATCTTTATAAAACATGCACACATAAGAAACTTACTGTGTTTTTCTGTGCCACCATGTCCTGTGCGGAGATAAAGAGCATGTGAGAATATGTTTCCAGACTTTCGGACAGTGACATAGTGTATTATTCCTGAATTGCTATTTTAAACAGCTGGTAGGACTGACTGTACGACATGTTAGTCTGTAAATAACACAGCAGATCATTTTGTCCCAAGGAGACGTAAAAGAATGGTGTCCATGAACACTAGTTACACTGATGGGAGAGTGTGCATGTGTACCTTCAGTGACTGGGCAGTGTCGGGGTCGGTGTCATGGTATAGGATGACATTGTTGGCCATGTCAAAGCTCTCCCTCACACCCAGGTGGTAAAACAAGGAGGGCTGCCGACACACATCGCTCATATCCACGACTGCAATGTCTGTAAGGAGGAGGTGATGGAGGTGACAACATAAGAGCATAGCTCTTTAACATTGATGCAATTTGCAGAGGTGACAAATGAGCTGAGTTTGAAATACATCTGCCTTTGAGTTTTGTGCTGCATCTGCCCCGTGATCTTTGGCCTCGTTAAATGTGGGAAATGTTTTGAGTGGAGTTGAAAAGAAACAAGAGACACAGTTGGGAGCTCTCCCATTGAAAGATATGAGCATGAACAAGAACATACATGATGGAAGGCATTGGTATTCATTGAATGTTATCCTTTCCTAGAAATCTTTTTTTTTTATTTCTAGGAAACAACACCCACTCACCCATGAGAGCCTCCTGCATAGAAGAATCTCAGTATATGAGTCAGTTAAAGGCAAGTACAGACAATTATGCTGACTTGAAAATCCACATTTTTTTCTACTGAAGCTCAGAGGTAATAACAACATGCCCTCAATCTGCCGCCAAGTTTTATATCCTCTCGGGCCTACCTATAGGGAGTGCAGAATTATCAGGCAAGTTGTATTTTTGAGGAATAATTTTATTATTGAACAACAACCATGTTCTCAATGAACCCAAAAAACTCATTAATATCAAAGCTGAATGTTTTTGGAAGTAGTTTTTAGTTTGTTTTTAGTTTTAGCTATTTTAGGGGGATATCTGTGTGTGCAGGTGACTATTACTGTGCATAATTATTAGGCAACTTAACAAAAAACAAATATATACCCATTTCAATTATTTATTTTTACCAGTGAAACCAATATAACATCTCCACATTCACAAATATACATTTCTGACATTCAAAAACAAAACAAAAACAAATCAGCGACCAATATAGCCACCTTTCTTTGCAAGGACACTCAAAAGCCTGCCATCCATGGATTCTGTCAGTGTTTTGATCTGTTCACCATCAACATTGCGTGCAGCAGCAACCACAGCCTCCCAGACACTGTTCAGAGAGGTGTACTGTTTTCCCTCCTTGTAAATCTCACATTTGATGATGGACCACAGGTTCTCAATGGGGTTCAGATCAGGTGAACAAGGTGGCCATGTCATTAGTTTTTCTTCTTTTATACCCTTTCTTGCCAGCCACGCTGTGGAGTACTTGGACGCGTGTGATGGAGCATTGTCCTGCATGGAAATCATGTTTTTCTTGAAGGATGCAGACTTCTTCCTGTACCACTGCTTGAAGAAGGCGTCTTCCAGAAACTGGCAGTAGGACTGGGAGTTGAGCTTGACTCCATCCTCAACCCGAAAAGGCCCCACAAGCTCATCTTTGATGATACCAGCCCAAACCAGTACTCCACCTCCACCTTGCTGGCGTCTGAGTCGGACTGGAGCTCTCTGCCCTTTACCAATCCAGCCACGGGCCCATCCATCTGGCCCATCAAGACTCACTCTCATTTCATCAGTCCATAAAACCTTAGAAAAACCAGTCTTGAGATATTTCTTGGCCCAGTCTTGACGTTTCAGCTTGTGTGTCTTGTTCAGTGGTGGTCGTCTTTCAGCCTTTCTTACCTTGGCCATGTCTCTGAGTATTGCACACCTTGTGCTTTTGGGCACTCCAGTGATGTTGCAGCTCTGAAATATGGCCAAACTGGTGGCAAGTGGCATCTTGGCAGCTGCACGCTTGACTTTTCTCAGTTCATGGGCAGTTATTTTGCGCCTTGGTTTTTCCACACGCTTCTTGCGACCCTGTTGACTATTTTGAATGAAACGCTTGATTGTTCGATGATCACGCTTCAGAAGCTTTGCAATTTTGAGACTGCTGCATCCCTCTGCAAGATATCTCACTATTTTTGACTTTTCTGAGCCTGTCAAGTCCTTCTTTTGACCCATTTTGCCAGCGGAAAGGACATTGCCTAATAATTATGCACGCCTGATATAGGGTGTTGATGTCATTAGACCACACCCCTTCTCATTACAGAGATGCACATCACCTAATATGCTTAATTGGTAGTAGGCTTTCCAGCCTATACAGCTTGGAGTAAGACAACATGCATGAAGAGGATGATGTGGACAAAATACTCATTTGCCTAATAATTCTGCACTCCCTGTACTATGCTTGCAGGGCATCTGAGGGGACTAAAACTTATACATGTGCCTGGCTCTTCCTCAGCTGAGTTGTGGTGCTGCCTAGTATAAATAGCTCGCAATTAAAGAAGAGCTCAGGTTTCGTTCCCCCTAAAAATAGGAGCTTTCAAAGGCATCATCTTTTCATAATGGAGACAGAATTATGAAATAAGTGACTGAAAATTATTTGGGGAACATTGATCGATTTATGGTGAGATTTTAATATATTTAACCATTAACAACAACAGGTGTCAGCTGAGTTAGCAAATAAATAAACAAGAATTAATGTCAACTCACAAGGCTCACTAAGATCACTATTGTCAACTGCTGTCTTGGATTCATACGAATGAGTTTAAATGTTGTAATCATCAGCATCCAAAGCCAGTAATATAAGAGCGTTCAAGTGCATATTTTCAGTCATTTGCTTGTTAATAGCCTGAGTGGCTCCATATTTCATTGGTTTACATATTTGCCCAACAAGAATCTGTACCATTTCTTTAGGATTGTAACAGGATATCTGAGGTTTCAGAAACCTCCAAAATCAAACATGTAGCACTATTACTACAATTAGATCTCATCTGAATAAGAAAGCAGCTCAACAAGTTGTGCAGAATTATATGTGTGAACATACAGAAAAGCTTTCACTATTGTGCTGCAAACTTGGTAGCCCATGACAGACCTTTTTTAGTGATAACTTTTTCTATTAGTACATTCCTACTGCTGGAAAGATTAGAGCTTGAGTATGTGTATAGTATGTGCATAGGATAAAGGGTGCAAAAAGGAAGAAGTACCTCTACAAAACACAAAGTTACTGCATTCAAAATATTACTGAAGTACAGAAGTAGAGTCAGGTATGTATTGGATTAAAAAATATAAGCATATATACCCAACTGCTGTAATTTTAGTACTTTAGTATAACTTTGAGACATCTATCATTTGTATGAACCTATTTGCAAAAGATACGTCATGATGTAATACGAGGCTACAAGTTTACAAGTAAATTACTGACTACTGAAAAAAACCTACTAGTGTTGCGAAATCACAGTCCAGGGTAGTAATGCTGCACAGTCATGCTGCACTATAACAGTGATCTCACTGCATAGCTTACAATAAACTTACAACTGTTGTAACACAACAGTCAGGAACCACTCACAAGCTATTACGCAACTTAACCCCTGATTTAATAAAAACATATTATTAGTGCTAATGAATCAAAGCATATGGTGTATGAGGAATTAACATAGATTACTTAGCTAAAAGTACTCTGATCATACCATAGTCTTGCAAGCATGAGTCTTATTTATCCTACCTTCTGGAGTATGCTGCAGTGTATGTTAAGGTTCAGCTCTTGCTTTATGTCTATAGTTTATTCTACAGTGTGTTCACACTGTGGTGGAGATAAAATATCTTGAGTAATTTCAATTTAAGTTAAATTGAAGAAGTTCAGTTTAACCTCTTTTTTCACTTTTTATTTCGACACTTATGTAGTAACATTTTTATTTACCACTTGTGTACTTACTTCGAATATTTGTTTATATTCCATTTTATTTTTATCATTGTGTATTGGTACCTCTTCCACCATCAAGATTACATGCTACCCAAACACCAATACAGGTACGTGTCTCATCATGTGACCACCACAACCAGAATTACTGTAAGAACAAAAAAAAGCTTTCCCGACACCAATAAGGAAAAGAAGAATAGTCTGCATGATAGATAGATACAGTTTTATATGAGCTGCTTAGTTAGTTTTAATAATAAAAAGTTTTCGCACACTTGCAGTTAGAAGTCTGACTTGTGCAAACCTGCCCTCCCTCTTGTGTAACTTTCCTGTGAAGTACCTGCATCATAGAAACTGTCCAGTACTGATGTTTCTCCAAAGTCCAACCTTCCGAAGGTGACGGTGGTGAGCAGGGCGCTCTCCGAATCACAGGCTCTCTGCAAACACTGCAGCGCTCCGGACTCCGGGCTGCTCGCCATCACCGACTTAAGCCCATCGTTCAGGACGTAGACGACCCGCAGAGAGCGCTGCTTAGTCGGTGGACTGGGGCTGGACACGTCGCCCCTCTCTCGGTCCCGCTCCACCACACACACCCCAGCTGTGTGGTCTCCCCCCATGTCCGACGCCGGTGCGCTCTGCCCGGTTTCCATATCGAGAACCTGGAAAGTGACTTCTTCTCCGCTTGATATCTACCACCCTCTTTATTCTCTTTGCGCCTTTCGTTTTCTCCTCCTCTCGCTCTCACTGGTGGCACACCTGTCCTGGCATGAGAGCACGTCTGAGTCTGTCTCCTTGCATCTCCGCCTCATTAACTCATATCATCTGACGATTATCTCGCACCAAGACGTCCGCTTCAGCCAGACTGGATTTGACTGGATCCCCGAGAGAGAAAGAGAAGGAGGAGGAGGAAATGTGGTGAGAAAAATACACTCAGAAGTTGGAATATTCCCTTTTGGCTCAGCTGTACTCTGGTATGAAGTTTTCCACTGGCGAATAAACTCTGGTCCTGTCAGTCTAGGAAACGTTATCAGAGTGTTCCCGTTAGTCTAAATATATGACAGCGTGTCCTTTTGGTCACCTCCTCTGCCCACCGCGTAAATAAGCTATGTTATTCTCAGTTATGATTTCAAACAGCATAGAATATCGTGTGATGTGACTGTTTTTTCAGCTTTAGTTATCCTTCTGGCTCCTTCTAAGTTTCTCTCCAGAGAAGAAGTTTGTCTGATTTCCAAATATATGCCCAAGATTTAAGTAGTGGCCAATTAGAGAGGACTTTGTGCACTTTGTGAGAATTATATGTGCACGGCCTCCTGGTTAGTCTCCATTAGGGACTAGTGCCGTCTTAATGTTTAACCGCAGAGGCTGTCAGAGGCCATTCATCACATGACGGAGAGGACAGATGCAACAGATACACGTCTTCCCAAATTAGCATCATTAGATAACAACTGGCTATTGGTTATGAATGTTTCTTTAAGGATCCTAATTGCCGTAACATTAAGTGTAATGTTAGAGTTACTGTGTTTTATAAGTTGTGAGATTATTATATTATCTTATGCCACGTATACCTCTAATTAAAGATTGTGAAATCATTATGTAGTTTTAGGTTGCATTTTACTCCTGACTTAGAAGGAGGTTGCTGATTTATTGTGAATGAATTACATTGTTTTATGATGCATTATACTGCTGATTTATAAGAAATAGTGTTTTCAGAGAATCATGGCCTTATTTGTCTGATTAGAAAAAACAGAACATACTGCACAGGAAGCCAAGGTCATAACTTAGGCTAACCAAGAGAGAAAGAACGTGGATGTTTAGGTTTTATGACTTTGGAGGGGTGCTGAAGCTATAAGCATGTGAGAAACGGTGAGATACTTCGAGATCTGGCGGACACCCAGAAGTGTTGTATGGAATAAAGAGATTGTTGATTGAGCATTTTTATACACCGAATGTTGTTCTTCCTTCAGCCCAAAGATCAAACATTTGGGTTATTTAACAAAGTTTAGACAGAGATTAATCATTTTGATAATCTAAATATCAACAGACCTACTTACTTAAGGAGGGAAGTAACGGTCCTGGTGTTCTGTCTCCTGTCCTCTCCCTGCTGGCCTCCTCTATGATGTTTGACTTATAATTAGATCTCTTTTCTTTCAAGTTTCTCTGGTTGAGTTAATGAGCTGGAGGACATCTCTTGGTAGTTCGTGTCAATAGGATTCTTTGTTCTTGTTTCAAATGTGTCTGGTAGTTTTATTTTCACAATTTTATTTCTGCTAGGTTTAGTTAGGCAGTGATGTTTGTTTAGGTCAGAGGGAGAACACCACATCTTAATTTTTTAATTCCTTGGGTGCAGTGGTCTTCTGTTTGGTGTAAGTATTGAGTTACAATCAATGCCTTTTTTTTCTTTTGTTTTTCTCTTTGAGATCAGTAAATATTAAGATTTGATCTCCTTGACTGTTGTAGCAACCTGAAGTTTAAAACAAGTAATAAATGAATCTAGTGCAGTCCTCCTGTGTAGAGCAGCGCAGGCTTGGACTATAGATACATGCATGGTGAAACAAAAGAAAGAACTATACTTATGATCGATGTGTAGTAATAAATGTATTCATTTCTATTAAGTTGGACTAAAAGCATACATGCTATCTCTGTTAAGTCTCTTTTTAAAGCTGTTATAGATGATTTATTCACCACATGGGGTCAGCAAATTATGGAGCTCTGACATTAATTCATATTTTGTATTTAGTTCTGTTTTGGTCTTTTTACAGTATGCCCATGATGAAAGAATGCTCCATTTGCCAGTATTTTCCATCCACCTGGGATAAACTGCCTGTGATTGCTTCCACTTGTCCTATTCCCCTTGCCTATCCAAGCTGCCACAGGAGCTAGGATAGGCATCCGTCTATCACTACTTGTGATAGATTAATTACTGTCGAGGGTGTACCCCACCTCTTGCCCAGTAGCAGATGGGATATGCTCAAGCTCCCCACGACCCTCAACTGGATAAGTGGAAGAAAATGGTTAGATGGATGGAGTACAGAAAGAGCTCCAGAATTGAAGGACCTGCAATAGACTGCCAACCTGTCTAGGGTGTACCCTACCCCTTATTATTATTCAGAATTGGTTGAGAAAATGGATATATGGAAATGTTGAAACTGAATTTTGACAAATAGTTCCACTTCATCAAGTCTTGTCACAGTTCATATTCTTGTTTAAGAGTACTCTTGTCGGATAAATTTCCACCATCATATTGTAAACAAAATTAAATTAGATTAAAAGTGGGACTTCAGTGGGCCATCTGCAGTTTTGTGCTTTGCTGGTTGGCAGGCTATGCATGCAGGTCATCCTGATTTAAGCTTAAGACAGTGAATTAAGCTCAAGCTGTAAGATTTGGGTGTGTCTTTCTATGCTCACCTCACCACTGGTTATGGCAGATTACTGCTCCTCTCTGAGGTTGTCAGATTTTGTCCTGCTGGGTTTTCCTTCCTAACACTGCCTAACACACTAGTGATTGCTCATTGGGAACTGTCTGATTGTTGAGGTTGTCTCCCTAATTCTGTAAAATGTCTTTACCTTGCAGTTTAAAGTGCACTGAGGTGATTGTTGTTGTGATTTATCACTTTAAACTTAAAAATTAAACATAACCGTGAAAAAAGAGGAACCACTGTTTTTACTTTTCCTCCCACACTACTGACTAAAATCAGCATATCATTTTCCACTGAACACATTTTTGCTCTTTTTTTTCAAATCTGATTACAACATCCTCTTTTTCCACTTATGATGCATTTTTATAATGGTAAAAACTTCCTTATGCTTAGCTCTACATTTGAGCTCTACTGCCATTTTATCACATTTATTAGAGGAGACTTTAATATTTTCTAAAATTGTGCAATAAAAAGGATGCTCAATGTAAAAACCTAAACATCCAAACACCATTACATTCTGCAATAGTCAAATATCTTTTGACATGCAGCTGCAGAAATCCTGCAGCAATTTCAGTGACCGTTAAGACTGCACCATGACTTCTCCTTTTGTTCAGTCTAAACTTGGGCAACCTGAGAGCATGTCTGCTGTCTATCAAAGTCATTTGTGCAGAAACACCAGCTACTTGAATAAGCAGTAAATGTGCAATGGGCAAAATGTGCCTTTGAAACAGAATGTACACTATACAAGCATGCACATTTTACAGACAGTCACGTATAAACAGAGTGTGCACACACAGTACATAATAGCATCTTTATTACACTGAAATATAAAAGTATATATATTTATCACTATCCTGGAGAGAAAGGACCAAGTCAAGAAAACAACTTGTAGCCTCAGTTGTAGCAGTTTTCTCTTTGTCATACGAAAGACAGAAAGAAAGAAAAAAGAAATAAAGATTTGGAATCAAAAACATGAAGGCCACAGTGACGGGTTGCCATAGATTCTGTGCACATAAAAGGAAAGGAGGCAAACAGCCGTACATGCTATATCACACATACATACACATGCACACACATGTGAGGACCTTTCATTGTCTACATTCCTCAAACTCTGTCTTTAAAGTTACTCTTAACCTGCTGCCAAAAGAGCACCACAAACACGAGAAGCAAGTGGCTCTCAGTTTGGTTTTTAGGAGTGAGATGCCAACGGCGCAACAGTTTTGTCAGCTTTCTGGAGATGTGAGTGAAACTGAACAAGAAAAAAAAGATTAAATAGTAAGGTCTACGTAGAGAAGGCATTGAGTTTAACTTGATAAATGTCACACAGATGTGTCTCTATGTGTCTTGATGCATGCTCAACCATCCTGGAAAAGAAATCACAATAAGTTGATCAGTGTGTTTTTTCTCTTCAGATAAAAATGCAATTTGCAGCCAAACACTGCAGGAATAATTTTCCATCTGGGGTTAATGTGCTTTTGTTGCATTTTGAATGAGTGCAAGATGGAAAGATTCATTCCGCTGTCATGCCTGTACAGTAAAAATAAAGCTGGAGGCAGAAGATAGTTAGCCTATTAACATAAAAACTGGAAATGAAGGGGTAAGCTGGCCTCTTTCCAAAGATAACAAATGCCGCAACTCTTCAGGATGATAATTTATCATATAGTGGGACTGATTCGTAACAAAAACACAGTTTGAAAAAGTTGCTTACTTGCTAGTTTTTGATCATAAGCAAAGTCAGCCCATTTCAGTTTTTCAACAAGCTAGAGATGTAAATGGTAAATGGCCTGTATTTATGTAGGGCTTTACTAGTCCCTAAGGACACCATAGCGCTTTACATATCCAGTCATCCACCTATTCACACACACATTCACACACTGTAAAGAGGACATCAGAAAATTTGCTACACTATGCCATCATCTTTTCCAATATTCTTCAGTCTGGCACCAAAAGTGTGTGAACAGCTGTCCACAGGAAGGATGACAGTATTTATAATAGTTGTGTAAAAACTATTTCACGATTTTGTGAAAACACATATGGCATTGATTTCGAAATGATGTTTGATGGCATGGAAATTATAGATAGTTGTGGATAAAATAAATGGTGCATAGCAAATAAGGCATATTAACAGCTAATTAGGCATACGTTGTTTATGTATGTGCTAAAACAGATGTAATTTCTGGAAGTTTTCAGTGTTTGTAATTTTACTATGCTTCCATAACCTCTAAATTCTAGTGTTTATGCTTAGTTAAGCTAACCTGGTGCTGACATCTGCTTATATGTTTCCCCCAAAAAATCAAGAAACTCCTGTAAATAGCACCTACAGTATCAGCACTTATCGTGCCAGCTACTTTGATTAAGCTTTTCAGTATCCTGATGTGCTTCCAGGTTCAACTGCAGATTGAAAACACAGACGTCACATCTGTGGTTAAAGGAGAATGCTGCTGAGAATGGCAGAGGCATCAGATTTACCCACCTGAAGTCTACCATAGATGACCTGAGCATTAATTTTTGTCGTAATTTATTTCTTAATTCAAATGATAACCTTTAAGGGCACACGTGTGGTTTACTGTTATTTAGATATTGTTATGATGGTGTGTTTTATTCACCATTTACAATGCTACCAACCGTTTTAGAGAAACCAAACAAACAAAGAAAAAGGAAAACGGTCTCAGGCTCCCTAGCAGCTTCTGGAGGCTGACCAGTCATAGCAGAATGGGCTCACTGGAAAAGAGGCCATGACTAGAACAAGACTAAAAACAGTTTAAGTAAATCATGCAAAGATGTACAAGTAGATATATATCTTCTTTATATGATCCTTACAGAAGTAAAGATCCTGTAAATGCAACAATAGCTGCATTTCCACCAAAAACACTACTAACGTTCAAGGGAACTAAAGTCTCATGGTTACCCAGCCCAGTTGAAACTTGGTAGAGAACTAGCTGTAGGGACATCACTGTTGGCACCCCTGATTTGGGATTTGTTCTGCAACTGGTGATGCTTTAAAGATGTGAATGAAGAAATTAAGAAAAACAAGTGTGGCCCATTTTAAAAACTGGTAGCTGCAAAATGCCCTATTTCACCTGATGCTCAAGGTGGTTTGCCACACCTGAATGTTGTCCTGGGAAATTGTATCGCTGGCACGTAATAATTTTAATAAATGAAAAAAAACTTTGCAAGTCATTAGATAATTTATCTGTTTCCAGTCAAGGGCTGTCTTGAACTAGTGACATCACTTCTCACAGAAATAGCTCACTTTTCTTTTTGTGACCCCGACTGACTCCCTGAATCTCTTTGTTTACCCACTGAAAACCTGGTAAGTGCATCTCAGGAAAGTTAATGCAGGGCAAATGCGGCTAATTTACATTTGCAAAAGTGTCCCCATTTTCAGTATGTACGCCTACAGTCCTCACATGGAAGGAAAACAAGTGCACAAACATACACACACACACAGATAAGAGGCGAAGGCCGCAGAGTGGACGCAGAACAGCACAGGGGTCGTCTGAACCGACCGGGCTACAGAGGTCAAAGTTTCTTTCACACAGAAACATGAAGTACCAGTGAGGTTGCCACGGCAGCCCCGGCTCTGTGTCATTGTTCTGTAACCGTGGCAACATGCAACGACAGACTGCAGCGCAGTCAGTCAGTACCGGTGGTACAGCAAGCTCCAACAAAATAGCAGTAAACTGAACAGAGAAGCCTCTTTAGAAGAAAAATAAAGAAGTAAACACAGGATAAGGCGGCGTCGGGGAGAGAAGGTGGCTGACTCCATGGTGCTGAACAGTTGCTGATTGTGATGATCATTTGGCACAAACTTCTTTTGGCTGAAGAGTCTCAGACCAGCAGTGAGAATGTCTTCAAAGGATGGCCTCCAATGTGGTGATAAGAATGCGACAATAAGGATGCTTTAGTCTTCATTTTGAAAGGCTCTTCTTAATGTGTTCTACCTCCATCTGTGAAGCAAACACAACCGTGAGCTCAGCTAGTTTCATAGCAATTAAAAAGAGTTATATTTACAACCAAAGATATGAATATAAAAATTTGTATCAGAAATGTGGTTATGAAAAGTGTAAATGTTATAGTTAAGTAAAAATTAATGCTGGTATGTCAAAACAGATGGTTAACTAGATAACTATACACACAGGTACTGCCAATACTCTATCTCTGATTAGAGATTCTTGACACTTCCTGTACTCCTATTTTGAGTTTACATAGTGTGTTGCCCATCGATACAGATTGTATTTGTGGCATGCATCATACACACTAGATGAACTCATCTGTTGATGGTAAATACAAACAACACAAATACAAGTACAGGCCATTTGATGAGTTTGTAAACTTATAGCTGTGAAGTCCAAGCAAACCAAGGTATCAATACAGGAAGTAAATACAGGAAGAAGGGGCTATGTTTTGAACTATTGGAAAACATGGAAAATTTATGTTCATTTCACAGCATGTCTATAGTTCTAGGCTCCATCCCAGAATACAAAGCATGAGCAAAGAGGCTGTGCTCTTCAACGGATGAAAAACTAATAGAGAAATATTACTAGAGCTCGTCATTCGAGCAGGACTCTGAGTAGAATCCATATTGAAGGGAGCCAGTTAAGGTGGTTCAGGCATCTGATCCTGATGCATCCAGCTCTTTCTAGGGAGGTGTTTTGGACATGTCTTACTGGGAGGGTGGAAAATGCTGCAGAGATTATATCTCTCAGCTTATTCTTGGAAATGTCTTGGCATTTCCCCAGAAGAGCTGGAGGAGGTGGTTGGGAAAAGGGAAGTCTGGGCATCTCCTCCCCCAATACACAGACCCAGATAAGCATCAAAAATGGGGGGATAGGTAATAAATATACTTGTGTGACTGTTAATATACAGTGGGGCAAAAAAGTATTTAGTCAGCCACCGATTGTGCAAGTTCCCCCACCTAAAATGATGACAGAGGTCAGTAATTTGCATCAGAGGTACACTTCAACTGTGAGAGACAGAATGTGAAAAAAAAAATCCATGAATCCACATGGTAGGATTTGTAAAGAATTTATTCGTAAATCAGGGTGGAAAATAAGTATTTGGTCAATAACAAAAATACAACTCAATACTTTGTAACATAACCTTTGTTGGCAATAACAGAGGTCAAACGTTTACTATAGGTCTTTACCAGGTTTGCACACACAGTAGCTGGTATTTTGGCCCATTCCTCCATGCAGATCTTCTCGAGAGCAGTGATGTTTTGGGGCTGTCGCCGAGCAACACGGACTTTCAACTCCCGCCACAGATTTTCTATGGGGTTGAGGTCTGGAGACTGGCTAGGCCACTCCAGGACTTTCAAATGCTTCTTACGGAGCCACTCCTTTGTTGCCCGGGTGGTGTGTTTTGGATCATTGTCATGTTGGAAGACCCAGCCTCGTTTCATCTTCAAAGTTCTCACTGATGGAAGGAGGTTTTGGCTCACAATCTCACGATACATGGCCCCATTCATTCTGTCCTTAACACGGATCAGTCGTCCTGTCCCCTTGGCAGAAAAACAGCCCCATAGCATGATGTTTCCACCCCCATGCTTCACAGTAGGTATGGTGTTCTTGGGATGCAACTCAGTATTCTTCTTCCTCCAAACACGACGAGTTGAGTTTATACCAAAAAGTTCTACTTTGGTTTCATCTGACCACATGACATTCTCCCAATCCTCTGCTGTATCATCCATGTGCTCTCTGGCAAACTTCAGACGGGCCTGGACATGCACTGGCTTCAGCAGCGGAACACGTCTGGCACTGCGGGATTTGATTCCCTGCCGTTGTAGTGTGTTACTGATGGTGACCTTTGTTACTTTGGTCCCAGCTCTCTGCAGGTCATTCACCAGGTCCCCCCGTGTGGTTCTGGGATCTTTGCTCACCGTTCTCATGATCATTTTGACCCCACGGGATGAGATCTTGCGTGGAGCCCCAGATCGAGGGAGACTATCAGTGGTCTTGTATGTCTTCCATTTTCTGATGATTGCTCCCACAGTTGATTTTTTCACACCAAGCTGCTTGCCTATTGTAGATTCACTCTTCCCAGTCTGGTGCAGGTCTACAATACTTTTCCTGGTGTCCTTCGAAAGCTCTTTGGTCTTGGCCATGGCGGAGTTTGGAGTCTGACTGTTTGAGGCTGTGGACAGGTGTCTTTTATACAGATGATGAGTTCAAACAGGTGCCATTCATACAGGTAACGAGTGGGGGACAGAAAAGCTTCTTACAGAAGACGTTACAGGTCTGTGAGAGCCAGAGATTTTCCTTGTTTGAGGTGACCAAATACTTATTTTCCACCCTAATTTACGAATAAATTCTTTACAAATCCTACCATGTGAATTCATGGATTTTTTTTTCACATTCTGTCTCTCACAGTTGAAGTGTACCTCTGGTGCAAATTACTGACCTCTGTCATCATTTTAAGTGGGGGAACATGCACTGACTAAATACTTTTTTGCCCCACTGTACCTTGGCAGCCTGCCCAAGTAAAGCATATGTGAAGGAAACACATTTAATTTTCCAAAACACATAAAAAATAAAGTTTTAGATGAATTCATCATATTTTTTTTACATTAATAACATATTTACTAGTTGCTGTTAATTTGTGGGCCTGTTTTAATATAATCAATATTGTTTCTTAGCCATCTCATTTCCTCTCATTTCTTCACCACCTTTCACTCACCTGTAAATTAATACGAATCGTCCTCTCCTCATCTAGTGCAGTGGCCAGCTGCTTCATCTCCTGCCTGAAACAAACCGTCACAAACAAATCATGATTGTACATATACAAGAAACAACCTGCTGCTTAAAAGGCACACACTCACCTATGTTGGCTCTTCAGCAGGTCTATGGAGGCCCTCAGGTCTCTCAGCTGGTTCCTGAGTTCCTCCAGAGATAGGGGTGTTTGTGGTGAGTGCCGGAGCTCGGGTGAGGGACTCAGACCCGAGGAGGAAGACGGAGAGGCGGATCGATGGCTGGAGTTTGGCGGGTTCAGGATAGAGGGCTTGGCGGGCAGTGGTACTTTACTGTCAGGAGCCTATCCCAAACACAGATCAACAAGAAGAATTGAAGAATTTAGCATTTATAATATTTTCTTCCTCTCATATACAAGATCTAACCTCGTACACAACGTCCTTCGTGATTAAAATATACAGAAAATGAAAAAAAATAAGAGACTGTGCAGGATTTTAGGTTCAAGAAAGAAATTTCTGTCTTGATTTTAAGCACTTTACAGAATAAAAGTATGTGTGTGTCTGTATGATCAAAGCTGCAAGCTGGATGGGCCTGGAATTTATTGATAGATTGTTTCACTAACTTGATGATGTTCAACTTAAAAAGAAAGAGTCAAACTTGACCTTTTTTGTGATATTTAACCTTAAAAGTGACTTAATGTACTTCATGTAATTAAATAAAGCATTATCTTTTTTTTATCTGCCAACACTAACATTTGCCAGAAGCCTTGAGTAAAATTACCAAAACACAGTTTTACAAGTCAAAAAACATGAAATTCTGTAGTGTAATGCCCCCTGATGGATTAAATGAGAAGCACAAGGAACTGCCATGGCCGTACAGAGATGGTGGGTACTCCTTTCCTCAGGGAAGCATCTACAGATCTGGTGGAGACAGAATCATGATTGTCCTTCACTCGCTCCTTGTCCTTCCTGACCTCCACTATCGGTGAGTCCAGGTCAGTGCAGGACAGAGAAGACTGCAAAAGAAAGAAATGTGCTTAAAAATGTATACATTCACTGGTCTTCTTTTTTCAGACTACAGATATATTCTGATAGCAAAATATCCACAACAAGAAGAAAGAAAAAAAAATCCTTGTATACAAACTGAGACAATAATTTTTAAAAAGCATCACAAGAAATTTATATTTTGCAAGGACAATCTAGTTTAGCGAGAAGAATGGAAATGGGGAGAAACATCTTGTCACAGCCTGGGCCTCTGACCCAGCGCTCCGAGTTTATTTTGGTATTCTTCTCGTGTTAGCTTTGTGATCATGTGTTATTCCTATTTAGTTTAGGTTAAAGGCAGCCATTATTTATTGTTTCCTTGGTTTCCATATTTGGATTCTTGAGTTTATCATGTGTTTTTAGGTCTGTAGGCTTAGTGTTGTCATGTCTAGTTTCCTGTTTTATTCTGAAATAGATCGTGCGTGTTCTGTGTTCATGTGGTTAGTTTTTCTCTCCCCTGTGTTGTAATTATGTTTAATTCTAGTCAGCTGTATCCTCATGTGTCCTCGCGTCCCCTGATCACCTCGTGTGTATTTAAGTCCTCAGTCTTCCTGTGCTCAGCGTTGCATCGTCTGTTATCTCTCAGTCATAGAGTGTCATAGGTTTTTGTTTTCACTGTGTTTCATAGTTACTCAGTATTCATGGTTTTTCATAGTTTTCTTTCACTGAGTTTCATAGTCTTTCAGTTACAGTGTTCACAGTCTTCTTTGTTTTCTTAGTTTCAGGTTTTGCCACCTGCAATTAGCCAAATGTTGGAATTAAAGCTCTGTTCTCCTGTGTCTGAATTTGGGTTCGCATCTGAAATGCACCGGCTGCTCAGTCGTGACACATCTAGGTCTATTCTGAAGTTAAGCTTATTTGCCTGACAGCATCTTTAAAGGTCACAAACAAATCTGTGGTGAGGGGTGTTGGCTATCAAAAGCCTTGATTTGGGTGAAATTGAAGTAACAAAGTCTTGATGAAATGCTGCAAACAGAAGTGATAAAAATGCAAATAATTTGATTAAAACATTTGTGACTGCATGAAAACAAAGCTATGTTTCATTGAGTTCCCTGAATTACATTTATTACTAAAAGCTGTGAGGGTGGGAAAAGAAAAAGAATTTAATTTCAGTGCCTAAAGCTATCAGAAGAATGTGAAGAAACATCTGCTAAAACTTCCTGAGTTTGTGTGTTATGTTGAAGGCGTATCAACAGAAGTTAAAACAGGGCTAGGCCATATTTATGTGTAATACAAATTTATACCAAAAGATGGTGCAGTGAGTCAATGTAGCACTGTAGCAATGTTTAAGCTACTAAGTGCTGATTTAGACTTATTCAGGGGGGTTTATGGTTACAAGGTACCTACAGTGTGGATTTAACAGCAAGTATAAATCCCCTGTAATGCAGAACAATGGCTGATGTTTCTGACTGAAAACCTTCCAAAAAGAAACCACACTTGGTTGGAAAGAAAAGAAATAAAATAAAAACTTGAATAAAGAGTAGCACCATCTTATGCTACATAGAGCGATGTCAGAATTTCTAAGACATCAGTGTAAGCCTCGACTTTTTGGTAAAACATGACCATACTGCAAACATAAAGGTTTTTATAATTGTCATTTTTATTTATTTCATTTATTTTTTTTTAGGCTGATTGACACTAAAGTATTGGTAATAACAGAAAAGAGTGGTTAGCGTTCAAAGCTTAATCTACAGTCAGCCAGCAGGGGGCGACTGTATTTTGGTTTGAGGTCTGTAGAAATATGTTGTCTTTCTTTCTTCATATAAAGTCATTTCTGAAAGGCCGACTACAGACTGACTCACTGGTGTGATGATCTGTGAGCGGGGTCGGCGGTCCGTGACTCGTGGTCGCGATGCCGTTGGATGACTCAGCTTCTCTGTAGAAGAGACAATTGCGTCCAGATCCATATCTGTGCAGACACACACCAGAAATGCAGAAACATATTAGAGACTCCGGCAGAGCAAAAATTCTGAGCCCGCTCTGACACTGCATCACTGCTCGATGCTTCTGTCAGTCTAACTCACCGGTGTCACGTGACCTGTCAGGGGCAGAATCTGGTGTCGAAGCCCCGCCCTCAGATTTGGGGCTATCACACCTGAGCAAGTAAACCATACGTAAATATTAGGCTCATTATGCTCAGGCATGTACAAATCAGGGCGTTTTCTGTATCTGAGTGTGTTTGTGTGTGTACTGACGCTAGTGTGGGCGGTCTCTCGGGACGCCGCGGGGGTTGGGAGGAAGAGGAGGCGCTTGACTTTGGAAGGAGGGGTTTTTTGGGAAGGAGAGATGGGAGGGTGGGCTTAGAGAGGTCTCCGAGTTTCACCTCTTCACCTACGCACAAAACAAACATACACACAAAAATCATACAACATAATGAGAACACACAAGCAGATCAGAGCTGGATATGCATGCAGAGGGACAAGCATGACTCAAACACGTGCATCATTAGACAAGGGGAAGGTAAACATGGCTGCCTCAGCAAAAATGAACAAATTTTGACCTTTGAAGAGGAATAATTCAGCTGTAAAGGTTAAAGGATGATGAGGGCCGCAGGAAATAAAAGGAAACACACAGACAGGGCAACAGAGGACAGAAAGGATTAAAAAAGATCAGGCATCGAGGTGGTGGCAGCGGTATTTGTCAAGTATTTAAGCTTCTACTAAAAATGAGCCAAACAAGAACCATTTATTATGTTACAATTCAAGAAAATCCTCCATCACTGTTGCATAAAATAACTGGCGTGATTTCATCCAAGACCAGTGTGTACAGTGAAACACCTGGATTGGCTATGCATCTGACCTTGACCCAAGGTCATAGCTGACCATGAAAAAAAAACAATTCAAGAAATCCTTTTGAGTAATACAGCATAAAAATAGATGTGAAAAGAGCTGTACATCACACTTTTTATTTATTTAATAACAAGCTGACGCGAGCACAGTGTAATAAGATCATCACAAAACACCAAAGTTTAGCTCTTGCCCTTTGGGGGGATTTGTGTTCTCTGAGTACTCATGTTGGTAGTATGATTAAGAGAAGTATTAAGTTGCTGCCATTTCTTTTCTACATCCATTTTTCCTTACAGCAGAGTCACTTTATCCTCCAGCCTGCTTCTGGATCTTTTTTTTTTTATCAAGAATGTATTTATTTCCCCCTACTCCCCTTACAAAGGTGGCCACACCTACAACCAATCAGGATACTTACTATCCTTATTATGAGTCTAGATTAAAAATCTCATTTTTTAGAGTGACCTGCAGTTAATGCCAGGTCTACAAAGGACAAAGGACTAAATACAATATCCAGAGCGTATGCAGTAAAAGATTGTAAAAGTAAACAGGTACAACTTTCATCCTTTCCCCAATTCTTTAAAACTGACTTAAATAAACAGTCACCAGTTCTAACTATTTCATGTTCCACATAATACAAACTTCATCTACTGGTCTATAAACCAGATTTGGACTCTAAATGTTGTGGAAGAAACTGTTGAATGCTTCAGCGGGACAGTTCATGTTTGTTGCTGCAGGTGGAAGTAAAGAACTTAACCTGTAGCTGCATTTGAAGTGTAAATTGCACTCAATGCAAGTGTATGGAGGCAAGCTGAGAGTCTGTAACTATTTAAAAAAAGCCCAGAAACAACAGTTGCATCAGTCTTAATAATAGTGTGTCTATTACTAATCCGATAAAAGGATTTAATCTTTTAAATAACGACAACAAAGCAAAAACTGTCTCAAAAACTGACTTTTAGCTGTGCATGGTAAAACCTTTCATGCTTTTGGAGACTTCTTAAAAGCACTTAGCTGCAGTAGCACCCTCCTACTCAGCATGTACTGCTGTGCAAAGAAGCCACACGGAAAAGTGTACCAGCACGATTGCTTTTGACTGATGTAACAACAAGCAACACCTTAAAAACTGTCAGCCACAAAATCATAGAACTTACGTACTTAATTGTTTGGGGGTTTTTTTTAGCAAAGGCAAACTCCAATCATAGAAACTTTGCTACTTTATTTAAATGTATGACAGAGTTATGGAAATCAGTTTGACAGTGGTACAAAGTAACACATAAGGCTGATGACACTTTTTATCTCTGATTGTATGTTTTTAACCCCACTGCAATCTCAGTATATCGCATATATATAAAAGAAAGACATCATTTCGTGCTGCTCTGATACAATGACATCGCGGCCACTGTGCAGACATCTGGAGACATCCGTCTCACACCAGCAGCACAGTCAATGCCAGTCTTTCTTATGCTTAAAACCACATAAAAACCCATAGTTTCCTGTTGCACACAGACTGATACTGATGCACCTCTTCAATCAAAGCTCTGCTATTTTGCTCAAAAAAATAGCGGGGCAATTCCCGTAAGTGATATCTGCAGAAACTTGACCTAGAAAAGAATCTGTCTTTTTTATGTAAAGAAGCCCAGCAGGGTGTTATATGATTATTATTAGTATGAAGGATGTTAGTAATTAGCCGAGCAAATAAGTGAGATAGTGCAGCCGAGCACTAGTCAAAGCAGGTCAGATTTTACCTCGATCCTGGTCTCTCTGGGGAAGATGTTCAGGCCGCTCAGGAGGAGCCTTCCTGACCTCTGACTTTTTCTCTGCAGTCAGAGTTCAAAGGTTTTTTTGTCTTTCTTTATTTTTACTATTTTCCCCCCTTTATTATTTTTTTATAGTCTCAGACCACAAAAACAAGCAGGAAGATGAGAGCTGTTACCTGTGGTGTGTTTTGCCGACGGTGCACTTGGAGGAGGCGGTTTCTTTGGTCTCTGGAAACGCATACAGATGCAGAAGCATCACAAAACCACATCTGCAGATTTCAAACATCACTATAACCTGGAAAGTTTTGCGAGTCATGACAAAATCACCTCTTTCTCAACTTCTAGCAGCTTGACAAAGTTGTCTGGGAAGACACCTTGCCTTCCCCCGATCTCCCCCATCCACCAGCCTGCATCGGCACAATCCTGGACAAAATCATTTTTAAGTATTTATTTGAATTTGCAGATGCCTGGAAGTGAATGCAGATGCGAATACGAAATCGCACAATGCTTCGCTCACCTTAGTGATGATATTTATGATGTCCCCGTCTTTGATCGTCAGCTCATCTTCATTTTGTGCTTCGTATGGAAAGAGGACTTTACACTGCTCCCGCCCTGACAGCCAGTCAAAAAGAGTCAAGTCAGTTTAATAGAACAAAACCACCGAAAAAGTCAGAAACAAGTGGGTTTAGACAAAGAAGGCAAACTGGATTTGACCTACATAAATAGAAGAATGTGTTTTCATTATGCAAGAACGTCATCAACACAGTTTACATCGAGCAAAATATGTAATTTATAATTGGAAATATAAAAAAGTTCCAAATAATCCCTTTATTTGTTTTGTCTTTTTTTTTTAATGATCTTTTAAAGTCTTTTATCCATAGGTTTTACAATAAACAATAATAATCCCTATCAGTGATCTAATAATGGACAGATGCATTCACTCTGAAAAAAATAGTTTGTTCTCTTGTATAAACGGACATGCTTGGACAAAAGCCCAAACGAGGAAGCACTTTCAAAACAGTGTAACAACATTAGACACTATGATAATAAGAAACAACGCTTTATTAGAATGAAAGGAAACCTGCAAAAAGTGTAGGAAATGATAGCAAACAGTTTTAGTTGACCGAATGGAACACATGGAGGGATCCTGTTTGGTTTGCACATGTATTTGAGATTTTACGAGCCGTTCTCAGCATCATTGTTTAATGTGCAGGAACCAGGGGAATGCTGAGAAAGCTGAGAGACAGTTTACCATTGTGGAACGGTTTCCTTAAACCCACACTATGATTTTTCTCTTTAAAGTAACCAACAGGTTTTAGTACTGAGTCCTGACCGTCTAATTTATCTAAACTTACTCAAACGGCAAGAGAAAAGGGATCAAATATGAAGGTAAATATAAAAAGGCGGTCGCAGACAGACCTCGAACCCTTGTCTTAGGTCTTGTGATTAAATTACATGTCATGTTGCCTAAGTAAGGCACATTTTGGACTGCTTGTCATTTTGTTACCTGTTAAAAATTTGGCTGCTTGGTTGGGAAACCTTCTGTTTGGTATGCTTTGTTTTAGTCTTTTGTGATGCTTGCTGCTTCTAGCCTGCATGCAGTTAGTGTTTAAGCAAATATTCTTCTTTTAAATAAGATCTTCAAAACCTGTAAACCACTAAACCACAATTTTTCACTTCCTGCCACATGAAATAAGGCCAGATGATTGCATTTCGAGAGTGCAGAAAAAGGGCAAATTTGGGGATTTTTTTTCTATCTGGTAACTTAGGGACAAGTTACACATGTAACAACTGTAACATGAAGGTGAGTACACATGTACAGTAATCCACTACATTTCTGAGTCATGTGATTTACTGTAATGTGCTACTTTGGAACATGTTACATGCAACTCTGCTCCTTTAGCAGGCTTCTGTTCTTCTTCATGGTTGAAATCGTTGTTAAAGGGGTTTCCCTTTGTTAAAATATGACGAATAAGGATTCCTGACCAAACACCAGAATGTGATGAGCTGAAAGTGACATGTGCGTCGATTTGTCATTAGCACAGTGTTTTTGCTAGATTCGCCTACACGACAGTTAAGATGCAACTTCTCACCTTTGCTTTTGCTGTCAGGCTCAGTCTTCATGCTTTCAACTGCAACGCTCGCTGCTTTCCCGTCGCTGGCCTGAGTGGGGGAAGAGACGTTGGAACATCTTAAGTTTCAGACTCTTTCACATTCTCATCTATGTTTTAACATAGTTTTTGTTAGGCACTTCCTGGTTTGAGTCATCATGTTTTCATCTTTTATTTATCAATTTGTACTGTGCAAAAGCCTCCTGCTAGCTCCCATTTCTTTAATAGGTGTAGCAATATTTATTGCAACATGCTAATATTAATAAAAATACAGGATTTAAGAAAAAAAACAGATTTTGTACAATTCTAATAAACTTGAAAGACAATATTTAGTATGACCACCTTTGCACTTCAACTTCAAAAAGGATAAGCGGAAGCTAATGGCTGGATGGATGGTGGATAGACCAAAATACTCAATTTTGCTCTACAAAGGCCTGATACCCACTTACGAGGACATTATACTGCTACTGTTCTATCAGAATTTTAAACGAATATCCTCATATGTGGTTCTTATTTTTCTTAAAAACAAAAATAAGGTAAAAAAATAAATAAATCTGGTAATTCTTTGTTTTTGAATTCATCGGGCCCCAATATGCCCAAACATCAAAGAGAAATTAAAAATGCATGGAAGAGTTCGGGTCTTAAGAGGTTAAGGACATTCAAAGCTCTTTGGATGTTGGCTGCTTTTTGTTCTGTTCTCTGTCGATCCCACACTGCTTCATTAATGTTGATGTCCTGGCTCTGGAGAGGCTGCTGGTTCTCTCTGTGTTCGGCACCAAACCATACCAGAGCTTCCACTTTTTTTTCCGAGATGGGTGTTTTACCTTTTCCCTGACCTCCACTGTACATACCGATGACAATTTAATTTGGATTCATCCCTCCATCGGACCTGTTGCCACTGATTGTCAGCCCAATTCTTGTGTAATCTGGCATACCTCAGCCTTTTGTCCTTATTTTCCTTCCTTGAGAAAGCCTTCTTGATAGAAACCCTTCAACTGAGACATTTTCTGATGGGTTTTCAGTGAACAGTAGATGAATCATTTGAAGGGCTGGATGTATTATTAAGTCCTGTGTGCTAGCTCTGGCTTTACAAGATTTTTTTCTGTTTCTTAAGGACATGACTTTTGAAATACTGTTCATCTGCTGCAGATAGGTCTTAGTCATCACTTGTCCACTTTCCTAAGTTTCTTTTAAGGACATGCTTTTAAGGACACAGCTTGTGAGACATACCACATTTCTTGCTAATATTTCTTTGAGAATCACCTTTTTGGTGAAAAACCAGTCAGTCTCTTATCTTTGGCATGAATTGCTTATGCATGAATGATTCATAGATCAGTGTTAAGTGTCTTAATAAACAAAACAAAGATCGCTCTGAAAATGGCCTGGTATAAGTACTGAAAATGCGCTAAGAGGCAGCCAATGTCCAAAGAAACACCACTTTAAGCTGAGCATACAGTTTTTCAGTCACGTTATCGAGCATCTGCTCAAACTGCACGATTGACTCGCAGGGGTTAGAAGTTCGTAGGTCACGATGCACCTGAATGCTCACACTGTGCGTCCATAACATGAAGGTTATAACAGAAAATCTGTCGCTCGCTCTCCATCCCTGTCTTTCACTCACACAGACTCACACCACCACCATCAACTTTGCTAAATTGCTAATGAAAAACGTTGATCAGGCAGCTGTGATTGAGCAGGATTGTCCATCCAATTATTTTCACGATTGTTGTGGTCGTGATAATTTTGTGAGGCCACATCGAAAAGGCTCGGATGAGCTTTCCAAAGTTCTACAAGTTGTGCCTCCATTGCTTGTGTCTAGATCACACGCTGAACTGCCGTGCTGCTCCGTCTTTTTCACCGACATTTATGTGTTTGCGTGTGCACAGTGTGAGAGGCTGCGTTGACACAAACAGGTTTGATTTTCTTACAACCAAGCGATTGATGAACGGGAGCTGGACGTGAGGTGTTAATCGCTTCTCGTTATCCCACATATACTACACGATGCACGACACAGGATGAAGGCGAAACTCTGAAACTGAAAAATCGGCTCAAAATGAGCCACAAATCGCACAGTGTAAGCCCACATTAGAAGAGTTAAGATAAGATTAAGATAAGATAAGATAACCTTTATTAGTCCCACACGTGGGAAATTTGTTTAGAAGAAAACTCTGGCTCTTTGGAAGCAACACATAAAGAAATGATGGCTGTCTTGAGGCTTTTGCACAGTATTGTATGTTTGTGCCTTTATTTAAATGCAAACATAAATCTATAAATCAAACATTGTGAAGTTTCTTTATAAATAACTTAACATGACTTGACATTTCTGAATCTTCTTCAGGGCCTCACAGTATTCAAGTAACACACTCAGATTTTCCTAATTGCACTTGAGTATAGCATCTTTGCTTGTCATTGAACTGAATTCAATGATGAGGACAAATCAATCAAAAATAGGCTCGAGAATGGAGAACAGTACACCGTGACAGCAGTGGCAGTCAGCACTGGTGAAACATTTCACAGAATTTCACTCAAATTGGTAGTAAATGAACCACACATAACAGGAAAATAGGAACACTAGCCAAACATAATGATGGGGGAAAAAAAATCAACTGTAAGGGTAAAAAGCAAGACTAACATAGCCGGTACTTTTCCAGTCTAAGCAGATAATTAGAGAGGAAGAGCTCAGATTCAGCACAACAGGCTGACTTGCTGATCATGTTGAACACGCACACGCTACAGCTACAGTGTGCGGGTGCCGTTAAAGCAGCCGTTGTTTCCCAGCTGGAGTGGATCCCTCATTCATGTTTGTGGAACCAGTGGTTGCTCTTCCTCAGGAAAAATACACACACACACACACACACACACATACCCACACACAAACAGCACTCAGTCTGGGAGAAAACACACACACTGCTTTCTTCTGTTCGGTCGGGAGAAACCAACACCGCTGTGCCACCTCCTCTCCTCTCCAAACCCTCCCCTTTTCTGTCTTCTACCCTCCCTAATGAGACCCATGTGGAGCCACAAGCAAAGAGAGACCATTACAACATGACAGAGAGGTTTTGTGCGATACTACTCTTCGAACAAGCAGAACTGAAATCCTTTATGCCATATATGGTTTCCTACTGCAAAAACATAACTGTGAACACACAAAAGCACACAGTCCTGTAGAAGTAGCAGCATGAGAATATTATCGTGACCTTCAACAAATATCAAACCATACCACCTCATACATAGAGTGTGCACACAATGAATACATGCTGATTCATCCTCACATAACCCTTGAAGCTGCATGTACGGTGCAGGGTGCTATTTTATCACCTCATCACTGTAAAGCAGATCTTCACCGGCTTGGTATGGTGTGAAAAGACTTTGAAGAGATCTTTGCGAGAGGTGTAAACAATGTAATGGTTTGTTTAAAAAAAAAAACCCATCAGGTGAAACGCCGTCTTCTCAGATCATTCAAAAGATGCCTATAGGAAAACAAGGTCACGTCTTCTTTACCTCTGCTTGAAAAGTGAAAGTGCACTCTTTCTCCTCAACACCTCTGCAAATTTAAACCCCGTCACTTTTTTTTCTGAGGCTGCAGGGCCTCACCACCACACTGCCCTAGCTGATGGAAACAGTAGGTTATTTTACAAACAACGAGACGGATGCTGAGTGGCTGTCTGCTCACAGCCGCTGCGCGAACAAATCAGATGTTAAACCAAAGACACTATTTGCAATTCTCAAACAATGTCCAGGTGTTACATAGATGGCTACTAAACTTTTATATTTAAACCCAGGTTACATTTTAGCCTTACCAGGTTGTGTCTGAACAGGTTTTAGAGAAATTTGCTCCATGATCTTAATTTCAAACATGCATTCACCTTCAAATTAGGCTGATGTGAAGACTTTTAAAACTAATTTAAACAAAAGGGGAACTTTACTGCTGATGTAAATGTTTCAGATTTGAAAACTGATCCTAAACATGCAACGTTTATGTCACAGTGACCACTGAAATGAAGGTGTTCATCTCTTCATTGATTCAGCCATTTGGCTTCAAATTATGTATGTTTTTTTGGAATAAACTGTACAGAAGCAAGATGCCAAGATGACTGCTGGGTACAGTCAGTCCTATCTGATCTCAGACACCAAGCAGGGTCTGGTTAGTACTGGGAATACTAGCTGCTGTCATTTTTTTTAATGGCTGTGGTACAGGAGGTAGAACAGGTCATTTACTAATTAGAAAGTTGGTGGTTCAATCGCTGGCCGCTCTAGCCTGCATCCTAAAGTATCCTTAGGTGAGATGTTCTTAATGCCTTTATCTGAGTGTGAATGAGACGCGCTGCATAAATTGCCTTAAGTGATCAAGTAGAGTAGAAGAACGCTATATAAGCACCAGTCTATTTACAACTTACTTCTAAAAGTCCTTTCGTGTCACATGAAACAGGCTTTTGAAGTGACTCAACAATGAAAACAAAGTCAACATCACCAACAAGGAGAGGAAGTGGACCTTATAGCTGGGGTTGTGGTTTTAACAAACTTCTAGCCACTTAAGTTAACTTTTTATTTAATATAAGGAGCAATTCTATTTGCTTTCTTGCAGAGAAACACTTACAATTACAGCTGTGCAGCTGCAAAAATTGTAAGCCAACCAGTCAAGTTGCAGTTAACCTGGCCAAAGCTGATGTTTGCACTCTTGGATTTAAAATATCATCATGTCATCATCGTATCCATATCAGATTCAGAGTTCAGAGCCACAAACTATTGATCTACCCAAAAACCAGCCAAATACATTTGATTTGGAGTGTTGCTACAGGACAGCAAAAACTCCTTTATTTTTCTGTCTCACCATCTCACTAAGAAAACCTGTGCACAGGAACTGTTTTTTTTTTTTTTTTTGGGGGGGGGGTTACTGACAAACTGGAAATTAATTATGTTGTGTCCTCCATTGTTCTACAGCTGATTCACTTTTTGGCCAAAACCCCCAACTGATACTTTGGCCCATTCAAATATATTTCAGCTGCTCAGTGACTCCAACCAGTGTGTGAGTTGATGAAGTTTGATGTTAAGATGTTATCCTACACTCACATACATACACTCACTGGCCACTTTGTCAGGTCATTGTCAAACACACATTACTAGTACTGGGCTGGACCCCGTTTTGCCTTCAGAACTGCCTTAATACTTCATCTCATAGATTCAACAAGTGGCTGGAAACACTCCTCAGAGAATCACATAGTTGCTCCAGATTGTTGGCAGCACATCCCAAAGGTGCTCTATTGGACTGAGATCTGGTGACTGTGGAGGCCCTATGACCACAGTGACAATGAGTTCACTGTGGTCATAGAAAGGATATGATTAGCAAAAGTACTCAAGGGGGCTGTGGTGTTTTAAATGATGCTTAGCTGGTACTAAGAGGATCAAATTATGGTAAGGAAATATCCCCCCCGCACCATTACACCACCAACAGTCTGAACTGTTGATACAAAGCAGGATGGATCCATCCTTTCGTGTTGTTTAGGCTTAGTTCTGACCCTAACAACCAAATGTTGCAGCAGAAATCAAGACTGGTCACATCAGACAACAGTTTTCCAATTTTCTATTGTCCAATTTGGAGAATAAAAAATGGCTTCAATTTCTAGTTCTTGGCTGACAGGAGTGGCACCCGTTGTGGTCTGCTGTTCCTGTAGCCCATCTGCTTCAACATTCAATGTGCACTTCTGCCTTTCCATCAGTTTGAAGTAGTTTGGACATTCTCCTCTGACACCAACAAGGCATTTTCACCCAGAGAACTGACCCTCACTGCATGTTTTCTCAGACCATTCTCCGTAAACTCTAGAGATGCTAGTTTGGAAAAAACCCAGGGGATTCCCAGTTATTTAACCATGTCACGTTCAAAGTCACTTAAATCACCTTTCTTCCTCATTCTCACGGTCAGTTTGAACTTCAGTAGCTCGTCTTGACCATACTGCATACTTAAATGCACCAAGTCTCTGCTGTCTCTCTTTCGCATCAGAAGGTTCCCGCTGGTTTCTATTTCACATCCAATGCCTTTTTTTCAGGTGACAGTTGATGTCAAGCCTGAGTGACTTTGAGTCACCGCAATGAAAAAAAAAAGAGGAACCGCTGAACAAACACTAAGAAAAGCGTTTCCATTTGCTGCAATGGCAATAATCCAAATTATAAACACCTGCGTTAAACTCGCATGTGGTCACTCTGCGTCTGTGCAGCAAGCCACACCACTCAGTCGCAGACACACACACACACACACATGTACAAACAACCGACCGTTCAGTTGAAAAGTTACACGGCCTCGTGTGACTCACCCAGATGGATACTCCTGACGCTTCCTCTGGAGCCTCATTACTGAGTGAGGAGACGAGTCTCACCATAAAGCAGCATAACGGCCTCCCACTAACAGGGCAGGCTGACAAACATCCTTCACACACACACACACACACACAGTCTGCTGCTAAATAGGAGGCTTTGATGACCAGTGTGCTGGTTTTAATGACCGTTTTACGCTCTTTAAACACACCTTCATCGACATAGTTAATGTTCTTTATTTCTACCTTCATCCTAATGAATGTTTAAGCAGCATTTCACTTTCAGGCTGTTTGCGTCTGTAATTTTTAGCTGCTGACTGTTCTTGGCGTGCAAGTTAACATTTTCTGTTTTTCTTTAATAAAGACTTTTACATTTCTTGATTGCCAGCATTTTCTTACTAATACTGCCATTAAAGTTCACTTTAATTACCAGCCCTGTTCACCAAGATTGACGTTTAGACATCTCACTTTTAAAATGTTTTAAAATTTACAATAAATTGACAGACAAACCCAAGACCATATCCTTCAATGGAAACTATTAAGCCAAAAAAAGTTGGGTGACGTTACCTTGGCTTTCAGTTCAAAAAGCTGTCTACAAACTGGACTATTTTATGTCCAGTTTTAAATATTTGTGGTTTAAAACAGGAGCCAAAATAAAAAATCATATTTTTATTGCTTATATTTCCCCCGTTTTGGTATCCCAAACACTTCTTTAGCATAAAACACACATAAAACCATCATCTTTTAGGCTGCTTTGTTGGTGAACTAGCCCTTTAAGTCTATATCCATAACCCTTCCACTGTCATCCCAACATGTCAAGCATCAATTCTGTAGCATTTAAAGCCCCAGAAATGTCTTCTTGGTGGCCGTTATCTCTTTTTCTGTGTTTCCCTGAGAAATATTTACAAAACTCGCTGACAACAGTGTGAAAAGCAAAAACATACATTGCTTAAAACTCCTGCCTCACCTGGCCTTATGTTGTTACGCTGTTTAATTTCCAATGAAGAAGAGAAGAATATGCAAAATGAATAACCCTCCAAAAATACGCGGACAAAACCCGTCCCTACCGTCTTTTTCTGTGTCTCCAGTTAAACTCGCACGAGGCTTTGCTACATCAGCTCACGCAGCAGGAGAATAGACGTGAATATGTAGACGTCAGTGAAAAACTGTATCAACTCCCTTCCCCTCTCCTGCTCTCTCTGTCTGCCCTGCTGCGCTCTCACTTCTGCTTTGCTTGTCAATTCCCTACAGGATGTGTGTGTGTGCATGTGTGTGTGTGCATGTGTGTTAACATAAAACCACTTCCTGTGCTGTAAAACTGAAGCTGAGTAAGGGGCGGCCCAAAGGCTGTGACTTCCTTTCCTCATTGCTGTTGATGATAATTTTTTAAAAAGTCTATAAAATAGAGTGTATAAAGCAGAATGTGTATACTTGTATTACTTCCATTGTGGGGACCTGTTTACTAAATTGCCTTATGGGGACAAAACAGACCCCATAGTGCTAGTCATTTAATTTTAGACTGATTACTTGGTTTATTGTTACTGTGTGTCTCCAGGAAGTGAACATAAGTGACACAAACACAGCTGGGTGTGTGTGACTCACCTTGTCCACCTCCGAGTCCACGTCCATTGAGCGAGGCCTGAGCTTGATGGGCTGGTCTTTAAAGATATTACCAAAGCCAAATCCTCTGAGCTGACCCTAGGGGGTTTAAAGAGGTATAATGAAAAACAGCATTATCTTTTAAAGGAGCAGTCCAACCAAAATCATAAATAGGAAAGAAAAACAACAACAGCTTCCTTTGTGCTCATCCATTGACCCTGTAAAGTTTCATTTCTCCATCTATGACTCAGAATGTACTCAGAGTTACCACCCCTGCATCATAATCCTCGTCTGTTATGTCTGTCTGTATGCTTCCTCTGTTCCAGACATTTCTGTTGCCAAAATAAGGCCAGGTGCTAGGAACACTAGATCGGTTTGTGCTGCTGACTGATGTTATACCTTAATATGACCTTACATGAAGCTCATATTAATTCAATTGCAGTGTCTCCGTGTGGTATAAACCACAGCGAGTAAACAACATTTGGAATGCCTAGGAGAGTTTCCAGCTTTTCATGGGATCCTTTTCTTTTTTTATGGTTATTGTTCTGACTGTAACTTGAGTTGAGTAGTTTACCACTTTGCTTTGAACATGATACCATTTTTTTAGTGTTTAAATTACCAGAAAGTTGTAACATATTCCCATCTTTACCCTTCTTTTATCTTTCCCTTGAGCCATAGTTAATATGCTGAAATAAAAAAAATGGGAAGAAGATAAATTCATTCACTAAAAATTAGCTTGAGATATAATTTATGTTTAATTAAAATGGTCGCTATTAATTTTAACTCAACCTACAAATTTATGGACAAACTAGCTGTGGAGTGCTAATAATTAGCTTTATGCACTATCCAACCAAATCACTATAACCATCCTATATTATTTAGATGCCTCTCATGCCGACCAGCAGTCTCTGAGCAGTCAGAGGATGTGCATAGGATTATGGGAAGTACAGATTTTGTCATGCAGTCTTTGTAAAGATTCAGAATCTGCACTTTGTATTCCCCTGACCCCCAAAGACAGCAGGCTTTGAAAAAACAAATGTGACCGTCCTGCCTACTTTTAATTTCATGGCTGACTTTATAGGGGAGGTCACCCCCCCAAGGAAGCTTGTAGTGTGATGAGGTAGCACTCAATGCACAAGTATTTGACTGTATTTACCTTCTTGGGAGGGATTTCTGACCCTGTTTCTGACCGACTGTCCCCACCGTCGCTTTCACTGCTTGGGCTGTCCTTATCTACATACACACAAATAATGCACAACACATCTTAGTTTGTTGCAGCAATGCAAAAAGGGCTGATTTCATGAAATAATTAGAAGATTTGAAAATAAACAAATAAATCTTGTAATCAGAAGCAGTGATGGATTTTTTAAATTTAGATATGTCCCCACCCTCTGATTAGCTGTAACTCACTTGTGCGTCCACTGCGGTTCTCCTCCTGCGAGTCCAAAGAGGGCGTCTCTGAATCAGTGAGGATCTCTTTGGTGAAGTTGGAGGGAAACATTCCAGTCTTCCCATTAAGAACTCCCTCCCACCAGCCCTCCTCTACCTGAACATACACAGTTACACAACATGGACAACATGCACACGTTTATACACTCAGATATACATAGATTTACTCCTTTAAATATAATTAGTGGAAAAAAACAATGTTCTTTACAAACAATAAAGCCTAAAAAAAGCTTTTTCGGAAATATAGGGCAGCGTTGTGGTGATCACCAAAGAATAAATAACTAATATATAAAGAAAACATGAGAATTTCAACATCTTAATTATTCAAAAGAACATAAATATATAAATGTACACGTTTAAAAGTAAAATTTAAATATTTTTTAAAAATACATACTATTTAAACATTTTATTTTATCAAATTTTTCTTTCTTGTTACACATTTGATGAAATAAAACTTCAGTTACTTGTATTTTCTTCCCGCATTTCATTTTTTAACATGGCAATTTAAAAATTTGACTTTACTTGAGTAGATATATTTTGCTAAATTTTCTTACTCTTTTTCAAAAGGGACAGGGACACACACACGATTTCTTTCTTTCAGTTTTTAAACCGTGAAGAAATGGCTACCAAGTACTCATAAATGTCTAATTCAGGGTGGAAGCCTGGAGTTTTCCTTGGTGTCTTATGGCAAATGTTTGGCTACAGCATAAAAAGGTTGCCAGTCCGTTGCCGCACTCATTACCCATTATTATAACTGGGAAGCTCATTCTTCTGAGAAAGCCCGAAAGCTCCAGAACTGCTATGTGGACCTTAATGTGAGATTGTCGTCTATAACCTAAAATGTTATTTTTATGCTATTTTGCATCCTTTTTTCTGGTTTTACATTGTAGGCTCATGATGTAGTTCTCACCTCTGCTATGATCTCAATCACATCTCCTATTTTCAGCTCCAGCTCATCTTCGTGTTGAGGAACGTAGCTAAACGCAGCCTTACATCTTCGTTTACGGATCTGCTCTCCTGCACAGCACACATACACACAGCCACCACAACCACATAAACAGAAAGAGAACATACACACACAGTTTATATGTAGACATATCTAAGACTTACATGTAATATAATGAGCTCACACACTTATCTGTAATCAGTGCTTTACAGAGACTAAGCAGGTGTTACAGACTGATTAAAAGCCATCATGGCTGAAGCCTTTGATGGCGACCTTTGACCTTTTAGCTAGAGGGCAGCTTAACCATTACTGACACCAAGCACTTCATACTGGCCTTGCAGTTGTTTGTCTTACACTCATTACCCTGCTCATTACTCTTGACTCATCCTACAGCAGCTGGGGCATTAAGACATGACCCTGCGCCTTCTCTTTTGTCCACAAGGTGTCAGTCTTCTTCACCTTATATTTCGATGTGTAGCATATGTAGTATTTACAGAGGCTGGTTCAATAGATAGTGATTATAAAGAAGAGATGTGGAATCCAAGCAAAACAAGAGGAGCATATTAATCGAATGTGTACAACCATGTATTAAACTTAATACTGGTTCTTGGAGTAACGCCAATTGTCAACCTGAAAAAAAAAATGTTTAAAAGCTGCTATTTGTATCACACTCCTCCTTAATAGGACGAAAACACCCAGACTGAAATTGTATGGTCGTGCTGTGTATGCAATTATGTTTATGCTTCACATCTTCTTCTTCTCCTTCCCTCATTGTCTTGTTGCAGTTGTTTGGCAACTTTTTAAGATCTTTTATATCTCTTTGTCTCTACTTTGTCATTTTTAAGCTGTTTTGACTCAGCGTGAGTTTGAGATTCTTTTTTTGCTCATACTGTTTTCTTGTGGTCATTTCTTACAATAGCGTCCTTTAGTTTTTGGTTATCACCATTATCACTGTGGTTTTTGTGTGATGCTTACTCTTACTTCCCGTCTTATTTTCAACAATTATATAATTCTTTAAAATAGGACGGGAAGTAAGAGTATCCCTGTGTATCCCTGCTGTCTTACTTCCCCTCTTTGTTATTTTCTTACACTCAGTATTGCCAGCTTCACTCTCATTAGCTTCACCTGTGTTCACTTAGTTTTCTGTATTTACAGCCCTCCTGATCTCCTTGTTGTTTGTTAGTTTGTTGAGTTTATCCACCACCTTCCTTGCCTGTCTGTGTGTCCTCTGTCAGTTTTCTTGTGCCTGGACAAATTGCCTGAATTTGGATTTTTTCCCCTGACACCTGGCCTTGTTTGGAATTCTGTTTGGATAATCCTGCTTGTGCACACCAGCGCCTTTTGTTCATTCGTTCATGTAATTCTGTCAAAACGTTTACCTGCCTCCCTTTATCCTGCATCTTTTGGCTCTATCTTATGAATGGAACTCCAGAGCATAACAATTTCTGAATGCATGTTTTAATTTTCCTTTGCCATAAATTTGCTCCTTTAGTCTAATTTGCAAGTCACTAAAAATTTAATTGATTGCCAAACAAAGTAATCCATCCATGACACTAATAGGCTAATTACCTATCCAGTGACTCCAATATAGATGCACACATACTACCCTGGAGCATATAGTGACTGTCTAGTATGTGTATACATGCTCAGCAGTGCTTGACCCAAATCTTTCCTCACATTAACAGGATCTATATTTAGGCCTGAAGCCTTAAAGCTACTGAATGACCACAGTGTATGAATGTAGGAGACAGAGCCGAGTACCTTTCCTGCCTGGTCGTACGGTGGAGTCCAGCACGGGGCTAGCACTGCCGTTGGCGAGGTCAGGTCTGATTGTGCTTGCCTGTCCTCCATCCCTCTTCCCCTCCTTCTTTATCTCCTATAGAGAGAGGAGCACAGGTTAGAGAAATGTAGGTTACAGAGACATATACGATAAAAATAAGACCAGCCAGGATTTAATAAATGACAGTATTAAAGCATCTTTGTCTAAATGCCAGCTTTAAAAAAAAACATAATTACAGATTTTAACAGCCAAAAAAGAAAAAGCAATCCCATTTGTCAACAATAATTTTGCTTAATATGATGCAACCTAGTCTGGCTCAAGTAAAAACGCTTGTGATTCAGTGTAAATATCAAATTTATTATAGCTTTGTGTTTTTACGTATTCCAGACTGTCGCTTCACTCAAACGGAAAGACAAACAGCTTAAACAGACCGTGATGTCATGTACAGTCACTTGGGCATTTGCTAGGGATAAATTATGGGATGAAACATCGTCACGAGACATGATTTACCGCTGTGGTGCTCAACAGAAAAATGTGCTTGAATTATATTAGATTTTTGAACAAGTCTTAAAGTTTGGAAACAAAAAATACTGAACAAAAACACTCTTTCTTTTTTTTTTTTTACACACAACTTGTAGATGTTTCATGGTTTCTAGTTGCTAAGTTGTATTTATTGTTTATTGTTGACTTTCATTTGTTCACTAGTATTCTATGCGTTCACTGCCTCAGTCCTCCCCCCTCTTAAGTTCATTCACGTCTCTTCATTTCCTGGTTTTAGCTGTTATCTATTTCCTGGTTTACTTTAGTAGTTATTTGTCACTCGCCTCTTGCATTTAGTTTTACTTCCTCCTCTGTCCTGTTGCCCAAATTAGGTTCAGCTGCATACCGTTACTCTCCTGCACTCAAACCCTTGTGGATAAAGTGCTCTCTTCCCTTCAGTCTTTCTCACAGTGGCTGTGAATCCTCCCTGTGTGTCTCCCCATGTTTCCTCAGTGCTCTCTGGGATTTAATAAGTTGCCTTTTGGATATCTGTCTCTTTGCTTATGGACTTATGGCAACTGCTTACGGACACCTTGCCTTTTGTTAAATCTATCCACCTTCAGTGTATGCATTTTGGGTGCTATATCCTGCAATTTGTGGTACAAGGTTTGCAACTCTTCACTATTCTGCTTTGAACATTGAATGGTTAACGTAATGTACTGACAGATGCAGTGTCACAAGAAACTGGAATCTGCCTAAGTAAATAAAAGCCATTTAAATATAATACTATGACGCTTTTTCACTTTTTGCCTGTCACCTAGATGGCTCCATAGGCTGACACATTGAAATATTACCAGTTTCATACTAAGGTGAAGGAGACATCTTTCTTACTGTGGTAGCATCAAGAAGGGCAGACGGGCTTAAAGTTTGCCAGATCGAATATGTGGTGCGACCTGGTGACCCTGACTGTGTACCTGCACTTGCGCAGACACAAACAGAACACTACCCCCCCTCTTTCCCTGTGACTTTCACTCTCATAACAAATCACAAGACAGCACGCAAAACTAATCAGATAAGCCGAAGAGAGGCGAGCAGACCAATACGCCGACTGACAAAAAAATCAAGGAGACAAGGAGACGGCAAACGGGGAGATGCAGTAACCACAGCGATCCTGGGAAACTAGACGCAATGGTTCACATCTCCCCACCACATTCATCATGACACTGTTTCATAAGCTTTGGCCTGTGGCGAACGCAGCTCAGCGAAGCAGACGGGCCCGGGTACACTGACTCAGTCCAACCTCTCAGACACAATCTGGGTGTGCGTTGCCTGGTTTGGCGTGAAAGCCTTAATGAGCCTCTGAGATCCAAAAATATCAACATGAGAAGATGTTTCCTCGACAACAGCTGAAGCTTATCTGAGGCAAAAAAAGAGACATTTTTGAAATGAAATAGAATGGGGACTGAAAATGGTGGTGAAGATTTCTGTCTTGGTTTTCCAACTATAAAACACTATCTAGCACTCAGCAGAGAAAAGACTCTGGATCCCCATTGCTTAGAGGCCAATTAAAAAGTGGCGTGCGGCTTGTGTGCTTCTCTTTAAACAGGAAGTGGCTAATTAAAAAGTGAAGTACTGAACAAAAACTGTTCTCCAGACAGCAAAAGTTAAATATATATATGCATTTATATTTATAGGAACTCAAGGTGTATAAAGTTTTTTTCCATATCAAATATTCACAAAAATTTAAATTTTTCATGCCTGTAACTTTAATAACTTTTAGTTATTAAACTGAACCTCTTCACTGTGTGCTATTTTGAATTCTTGATTATCAACTAATATCACGTCCTTCTGTGTTGTACAAACCATCCAAGGAGTTTGTGCTTCAGTGAGGCACCCCTGTAGTTTGAGTACAGTTCAGCTGATACGTTAGCACAGCCATCTTTCATCTACGTAACTTTAAAGCTTCAAAATGTCAAGTCCAAAACTAGTGGGTAGCATCATGGTGGCTAGATCCATCTTTTATACTGTCTATGGTAAGTGCACTGTCAGCTCAACATATTCCTTGAACGTCCATCGACTTGTTTCATATTATCCTTTTATAAATAAGACATTCAACTCAGGAGCAGCTGTTAAACCTCAGACTTCCTGCTCTGCTGTCTGTTTCTTATTCAGCTGAACTACAGAGCGAGCACAGCTTTATAATAATGCCCTCCGATGGCAGAGAAGAAATGTTCAAAGACATCTTAAATATTTTCTTTCCCTGTGTTTCTTAAATCTTTCTTTCATTTTGCTTTTTCACTTAACTTATCTTTTGTACTTTCTCTTTTCCTAAGCACTTGCAAATGTTCTTCGTGGTACAATACACAACCAATGCACATGCTACAGCATTAGAGTGGTTATTTTTTTTCCCATTTGTCATAGATCATAGTCAAAACAAAACACTAAAACACACAAGTGTCTTAAACCTGCTTTCTGAAAACCACCAGGTGACGATGGGAAAACGCCTTTTTGTTTTGACCTCTGTAAACACTTTCCTGCTGAATTTACAGTCTCGATCACTCATTTTTGGCCATAAATGGATGTGGAATAATTATTGTCATTAAAAATTCTCCTTGGCTAAAAGCAAGTTCGTATGTGGTCTCACAGCATCCCTCACTTTTTTGGGGAAATGAAAACACTAATCAAAAAGGGACTTCTAAAACCAATCACTGACATCACACTACCTCCATCCATCTTTTACTGTATATGTAATTTAATCATGTGACTACCAACATGTGATACAAGATGTCTCCACTAAGTGCATTATTGTCTGGTGACAAGCAGAAGTGTTTTGTTTTTCCCCAAGTTTCCCCAAGTGCTTGCAAAGGGGGTTATTTGACTATTGTGGGGTTTTCTCTGTATTATTGTTGGGTCTTTACCTTATAATATAAAGTGCCTTGAGGTGGCTGCTGTTGTGATTTTAGTACTATATAAGTAAAAGTGAACTGAATATAGTGCTTTAAACATTTAACCCTTTTGTGATACAATAAATATGGAAAAATGTAGTTCTGAACTTATTTCAGCCCTGCGCTTGCCTTGTTTTTTGATGCCCATCTCAGGGTATTGAATTTTCTGTTAAGTTCAACAGCAAACAAATGAGACAGCAGTTCCATGTAGATAAAATATAAATGGATAGATGGAATTATTGTAGTGGTTTATAGTAAACAGTAAAAGATGAATGTAACACCAGTCCGTGTATATGGAGAAGACATAGTGTGGCTGTCTTCTAATGACAATTTAATGACCAAATTACTTGTTAATCAATCATCGATAGATCAATATTTCTTGGTCTGTCCGCCTGAACCTTTTCATCAACATCAGTTTTTGCTGTCATACTCCAACCAAATTTGACCTTGGAGATAACGCTGTGGTTTCCTGGGTAAATTCTTATCAGAGCTTAATTTGGATAATCTATGCAATATAAAAATAAGAAAAAGTTTCCTCATTGCACAAGAGCCATAGAAACTGAATGAAATGGCAGCAGTTAAAATCATTTGACTTTATCATAACGGAGAAAGCACCGTGTTATTTATATGCAATGATATTCTATCGTAGATTCAGTTGTTAACATTGCATAATTTGTCAAATCACTCAGCTTAGCCCTGCAAATGGAGCTTTAATTCCATGTGAAGTAGATGTATTTGGATAGAAACAGAAAAGTAGAATTCCTGGCTTCATCAGCTGTGATCATTCAGTCATGATCGCACCTAGCCTAACGTCAGCCACTGAGCTAGCAAACCTAGTTAGCAACAACGTTTGAAGTGAAATAAGAGAGTTATGGTGGCTCACTACCAAATTAAAGACACTGGAATAAAAAAAAGTTTGTCACAGCCAACACATTGCCATTTGTTAAGTAGGCTAATGCAGTGTTAATGTAGACCCACTTAAAAAGATATTGATTCTGCGGGCAGGCGCTGCAGCCTCCTCCTCTGATTTTAAAGATTATGTGTCCTGCAGGGAAAAAAACCCTCACGCATATTCATTCAGAAACATGCGTACACAGACACGAGTGCCCATAGACTGACTGGTGAAAATAAAACACTTAGGCTGGAGACACTGCATAAGCCAACCTACGCAAAAACCCACAGCAGGCATTCTTTAGCCTACAGCTTCTATTTGGTATATATGTGAAAGGAGAGAGAGCAGCTTCTAGCAGCTACTAGCAGCTTCATGAAATGCTATAAAGGGATTAAACAAAAATAGAAAATGTCTTTTTTTTTAATTCAGGGTCATTGTTTAGATAATCATTATGTTTGGAGATGGAAATCCTGGAAAAAGCTAACTCTCCTGTTTGTCTTTTTTTATGACTCCATTCATGCGCGACTGCAATTTTGTCCTGGGGGATATGGAGGTAACCCAGAGAAAAAGGAAATCCATCTGAAAAGAGGAAGAGAGCGTGATTCATCATATCTGAACAGGAAACACCTGCACAATGTACACTACTGTGTTTGCGTGTGTTAGTTGGTAATGTTTAAAAGCCTTACGGCAGCTATGTGTTTTACCCTGAAGTGCTTGAATGCTCAACACTGCTGTGTGTGTCCCCTGTCACCAGACCTCTGACCTTGTCTCTTCACAGATAATACAAAACAATGCACTGAAGCACCCGCTGCTTAGTGGGTGTTCAGAACAGTCTGATGTACAGAGGAGGGAGGAATGGGGAAACAGAGCTAGTGCTTGTAAAATTATTGTGAAATGAGAAGCAGAAGAGTGGTGCAAAATTATATTTTCCCTTGCTTTATACACTCTGTCCTTATTTCACAACTCTGTCCAGGGGTCAGAATGAAATAGTCACTTCAGAAATATCTGAAACCCCCTTAAGCTTAAGAACACTTTATTGTGCTAAGGATAAAAGTCAAGCGCCTACAATTAGTCCAAAAATGCAGCAGCACGCCTCTTAACCGGCACTAGAAGGCATGAGCACATCACCCCTATCCTCGCTAACTTACACTGGCTGTCCGTCAAATATCGCATTGATTTCAAAATCCTTCTGCTCACTTTTAAAATTCTAAATAACCTGGCCCCTAGCTACCTAACTGATCTCCTTGATCTGTACAACACAAAGAGAGCACTAAAATCCTCCAGCCAGCTGCTCCTAATGCAACCAAGGTCTTGTTTAAAAACCAGAGGTGACTATGCTTTTGCCATTGCCGCTCCTAGACTCTGGAATAATCACACAGTTGATATCCGTACATCGGAATCAAATCTATCGTTCAAATCACGCTTAAAAACACACCTGTTCAACTTAGCTTTTGAAGCAAAGAAGTTTGACTTTCATTCGGCCTGCACTACACCATGTAAGGTAATTTTAATTGTAACTGTACTATTTGTTCCTTGTTCTGCCCCCATTGCGGTTTTATTGTGAAGCACTTTGATGTACGCTAGTCTTTTAAATGTGCTATAGAAATAAATTTTGACTTGACTTGAAGCATGCCACCTTAGCTGTTGGACAGATGGCCTCACATTTGACTATATAGAAGATAAAGAAGAGTTCATGGTTGACTCAATGACTGGAGGGTTTGCATATCCTGTACCCGTCCACCACTGTGCTTGACAGCTGGTCAAACACACTGAACATTAATCTGACCCCAAGGTCTGACCTTCAGGTGACACTTCTGCGATGTTCACCCCTGGTAGCATTGTGTTAACACACACTTGAGTTCTCCATAGGTGGTCACCTAGTTGATGATCACTTATTCAAATGCATTTGAACAGCAGCACATGGTTTTTAATTCCTATCGAAGCAATAAGGATGTTCTTAGTGTTTCACAGGACGGTATTTTCATGGTTTTTTGTAACTAAGCAGTAGAGTAATTAGTAATCATGTCATACAATGCTTAAACACATGCAACGTTCATTTTATTAATAAAAGTCTGGGCGTTAATGTCTTCTCTGTCTAAAGTAAATGCTGGAAAGACAAACATTCACTTTCACTCCCAAAGCCTTTCATGTCAGATCAGAGCATGTGATACTGATTTTCAATATGTGCCTGTCCAATGAACAGAGGTCACACGGCTACAGCATTTCCCATAAACAGGATGTCCTCCACCTCTGCTAAGAGTCTGTGAGGATGTTGATGATGAGGATATCAACGACTTGTTTTCTTGGAGGGAAAAGGCTGCAGCAAAAAGAAGATAAATCTAAAAAGAAAATGCAACTGAGTCATTATTATTAATATCATCTAAAGAATTCAACTCCATTAACAAGTTTCAGAATATAGAGTGTGTTAGCCTGAGCCGAGCCAGACAAAAACATCCAAAGCTGAAAAACGCAAAAATCAGGATTACAGTGAGTTATCTTTCCCGGTTGTTGTCAGCCGCAATGACGCGTGCATACAATTACTTCCTGTCACCGCTCTTAAACCTGTGTGTCCACATCCTCCACTTCCTTACACACAGATCTTCACATACACACACATTCCTCCACATGGCAAAGCTTAGAGTCACTTATTCCCATAACTGCAGTCTTGTGACAGACCAGTTTGGTATTACTGGATTACTCACAGCCTCACTCTGTCACACTCTCTCAAACACACACACACAACATCCACGCGAAGCCTCTGGAGGCCCATTGTCCGGCTCTCTGACAGTGAATGCGAGCGCTGACGTTCAGTCAGCACAAATGAAGCCTGACTGCACAGAGAACAGCCTGACAATAGATGCACTTCTTTGCTGAGTCCTGTTACCCTTGGTTTGTAGCACTTTTCTACTTCCTCTCATGAGACTGTGAGCAAGGTACTTCCTTCTTATTGTCACCACACACTGACTATTTTACACACCAGAAACTTTTTGTGAGAATTTCCTCATTCCTGAATCATATACCTACAACTGTGTTCGATCTATTCCGATCACCGAGCCAACAAACTCAAAGTAGAAGACCTCGGAGCAGAAGCTGGCTCGCAGGCACATTTTCCACCACAGAAAAAGCAGATGACGCTAGTCTTTTAAAAGTTTTCTGACAAATATTTGTTGTTCCAGACAGTGAGAATGTCCAAAGCAATATCTTCAGCTGCCTCGTTTCATCCGAGCAGTGGTTGCAAAACAGAAAGATTTACCATCATAAATGAAAACCTGACATTCACATTTTTGAGATACTTGAATTTATTTGATTTGTTGCGCCAGGGGAACTTTCTCACTTTCAACCTGGTGAGGTCTGAAGATATTTGTAACCGTGAAACCTGACCTCTGTGGCCACGCTACACTGAATCATACGCATAGCTTGCCATTTTGCTTTCAACTACCCTCTCAGACCCCATTGTGGTTGTTGGGTAGACCTGGAAGCTCTGCTGCTAGTGGCTGAGCTGTGTCTAACATATCAGCTGCCTGTCATCAATCAGACAATAAGAGAACAGAATAACATCAGTAACTTTTTAAACAATTTTTAAATAACTTTTACAATAAAAGTCTAATTCATTCGTTAACTAATCATTTTAACTCCCAATAACAGTAAACAACTAAACAGTTTTACTGTTACTTTGTTTTAAATGGGCGATCGTGGCTCAAGAGTGGCAGTTCGTCTTGTAATCGGAAGGTTGCCGGTTCAAGCCCCGGCTCGGACAGTCTCGGTCATTGTGTCCTTGGGCAAGACACTTCACCCGTTGCCTACTGGTGGTGGTCAGAGGGCCCGGTGGTGCCAGTGTCTGGCAGCCTCGCCTCTGTCAGTGCGCCCCAGGGTGGCTGTGGCTACAATGTAGCTGCCATCACCAGTGTGTGAATGTGTGTGTGAATGTGTGAATGACTGAACGTGTAAAGCGCTTTGGGGCCCTTAGGGACCAAGTAAAGCTCTATACAAATACAGGCCATTTACCATTTAAATCCATTTCTCAGTACATCACTTCAATCCCCAACTCCAGTGAATTAGTTTTAATCAATGGGGGGAGATTGGTAATTGTAAACCAAACACAAAGAAACTCTCTTTAAATTTACTATTACCAGAAAACACTGCATGCACAACATTGTTATCACTGCCACCATGCTACGACTGACTGAAGAAGACTAAAGTGTGTTGGATGCTGGCATGATTGCCCATCAGAGCACATTCCCAGACCCAAACATTCCTACACTGCCTACACACACACTGCCAGAGTAGCACAGTCATTCCCTGGCCAGAATTTAATCCTAATATGCCTCCTACTGAATACACCTGGGACATGCTGGTTCATCTGAGGCAGTAACAACTAATGACCACTGCACATCTGCAAGCTGGAGGGATTCAAGGAATGGAGAGAATTTCCTAACAACAGATCCGGATTTGTGCAATCCAAGCGGAGAAGCCAGAGGAGGCCATATATCATCGTGAACATCTTGAGAGAAATCCTACAAACCAGAGTGGATGATGACTTTTAGGCCATTCAAATTTCTCCAAACACTGAGTGAAGCCAACGCTTATTGAGGCTACTTGAGCTCAGAGGCAAATATCACAAGACTGAAATGTGTGTTTGTAAACACCTGAATGGAAGTGAATATATTAGATGAAGATGAATGAAGAAATGATATAGATTCAAAGTGTCAGCTGCAAGAGATCTTGATTTATGTTACTTTATTACTTCCTCTGCTTTTCTGATTGCATTGTCTGTTGCAGATAACAACGCAATCTGTGAAGTAACACTTTGGGATTACAGAACAGTTGCAAAAGTTTACTGGTTTAATCCAAACAACAGACACTCCCTGCATGCTATTTTTTGACATTCAGTCTGGGGATGAATTACATTTATTTCACTGCTTCCGCTTCAGTGGTGAGAATGAGTGTTAGCTGAATGGTTTGATGGTGAGCATGAAAAATGATGTGACTCATACGCTAAGCAGATCTGCACTCCACCGCCATCCCGAAAATCCTTTGTTGAGACATTTTCTGCTGGCTTTCCTGTTCATTTGTCATCACTCAGTATTTTGTATGTGAAACCAATATTATCGTTTTCTAAATATAAGGTAGAAGCAAATTCTAACCACACGCTCCATCTTATTTCTTAGCTTGACCTAACCTTATGTCTAATTTTAGATTACTTCACTTTACAAAGAGTATAATGTTGCAGAAATGTCGAGTGTGTGTTCAGCTGCCCAAAAATAGCAACACAAACAAACACCCAAAACCCGCCACAGCTACATGTCTGCTCCGCTGCTATTGGTGGAGGGTCTCATGTGGGTTTCCAAAGTCTTTCAGGATGAGGGAAGAAGACATCTAGGTGGCGGGGACTGTTTGCAGTTACTCACCCTGACAAAGTTATCGGGGAACAGCCCCCTGCGTCCACCCAGCTCGCCCTCCCACCATCCTCCTTCATCTCGCCGTATGTTCACGATGATGTCACCCGCCGTCAGGCTCAACTCATCGTCCTGCTGAGCCTCATAATCAAACTCCACCACGGCTTCCACTGTGTGCAGAGGGCAAAAGAGAGAGTTGAAGATCAAATCACACTGCAGAGACACCACACTGTTCTATAATTTGTCTCTGCTCCAGTCATTTCGATGATTATCAAGGTTTTCTTTATTAATTGAAATTGAAAGCAGAACACAAATCTTTGAATTTGACTCCAAAACACTTGTTCATTCCCTGGGAGGGGAAAAAAGGGACTCGCCAATTAAAGGTGTCCTGTAGCATTTAGTTGTTAACAAACCAAAGCGTGTGTGTGTGTGCTTCTGAAACACCGAATGCAAATCGAGCTGCTTTTGCATTTTAAAAACCTGCATTGTTTATCCCCTTTATCATCCTTTCCTTTGCCAGTCGCTGCTTTTCTGCCGACACAAACTGTTTGTGCGGGCCACCTGTCCTCGCCACAAATACCTCACAAACAAACAAAATTTATTCAGGAAATGTCGAACACATCTGTCACTATCTTCTCACTGTCAGGAACATAAAAGCCGGAATAAAAAATATAAAGCGCTCTCACTCACACATTGCATGTACGTGGCTTACCACATAGCGACACCACAAACTGAAAACGCAGCAGTATTTCTCGGTAAATACATTTTACAGAAAGTGCAGAAAACGTTGCATATTCAGTTTTTACATATGCTGAAATAGCTTTTCGCAAATACGCCACATTTAAGCATTTTAAATTACACTTTTGGCTAATTTTAACCTATCTGGACGTAGCTTTCCACTCTCCTTCTTTGGATAGGTCTTGGACAGGAATTGGATAGAAAGAGTGATTTTACACATAGAAATTACTATAAGAGACAGCTTGTGGCCTAAAATAATGTTGAAACAGTAAAAATCAGTGGCCACTATAACCAAAAATCACTGGTCTGCACATGAGAAGCTAAGACGAATGGAAACCAAGATGCAAACATGAAAAACATCTTACAAGACAACAGTTTGGTGTTTTGCTTCACAAGATCTTGTTAAATCTCCTAAATAAAATAATTTCAAATCACGATATCTTGTTTCCTGCGACTCCTTCAGCACGCATACACCAGAAGGAGAGCAATCTACAGCTTCACACTCACAAACAAACCCCCACACAGATGAATATGTAGCCTGATTAGGTCTAGTGCCCCAAAATAGATATCCCCATTGCAATCAGGACACTGGCTGTTCAAGGCAGCTAATATCTGTTTTTATGTCTATACTCACTAAATGTTTAAAATGAGTCATGTAAAAATGACCGAAAGCTGAGACTACTTATTTCCCAAAAGAAGTGGAGAGTAAAAAGTCAGCATGACCCATCCAGCCACAATAGCCAAAAGTGAGGCGAAAAAAAAAACACGCACACACTTTAAGTTAGTGTTCTTCGCTTTTTTTAGACCTTTACTTTGGCTTGCAAGTTCTTCCTTGTGGGTATAAAAATGGTCAAAAAGTTCCCGCACAGTTCTGCTCGGTGTCCTGTAAACACTTCAGATGAACCCTCCTGCAGATGACTCAAAAGTAACTCGAAGACAGTAATTATTCCCTTTGAGTCAGTGGGGGTGTTTTAATTTGAGCAAGAGGGAAGTGGAGAAAAAAAATTCCTGCAGCCTCTAACAAAATTGTGTCCTACCAAACCTCTTGTGCTAATTGGACAAAATCTAAAAGTAAGTAAGTAAAACTTCCCTATATGGCACAGCAAAAAATCAAACAGTGCTTCACAATAAAACACAAAAAATTAAAATATAACATATCAAAACAATGTAAAGCAACGGCATATAAGATAAAATAAACACGAAACCTAAGATCCTTCAGATTTTAAGATCGGAGCTTCCTGTCAGCTTTAGAGTTCCTTTTAAACCTACTGCTTTAACCTTTAAAGCTTTGAATGGTGAGGACCTCAGTATATCTCAGAGCTTTTATTGGTCTACTCTTCCAGCTGATCCCTTTAGTCTTCGGAGCAGAGGTTACTGCTGGTGCATCGTACTCATTTTAAAACAAACACAGAGATTGGGCCTTTGGGGCCGTAGCTCCAAACTGTACTACAAATTATTCTCATCTCTTTGTTTCATTGATTCAGATAAGTTATTAAAAGCTGATTTTAAAAAATTATTGGTTTTATTGTTTGTTTTTTTCTCTTGGTGTCCATCAAAAGTGCTTTACAAGTAAGATTTACTTTACTCACTTAATGTGCTAATTAGACAAAAACTATATAAACTATATATTACCCAGTTCTGGAAACTAATATGTATCACAGCTGTTTGGTCCACTGTCCACCTTACACAGTTTCCAAAGGTAAAGTTGATACAACACAGGAAGTTCTACCACTCAACAGATTTAAACATGACTGAATCTTATAAGCTACATAACCTTGATGACTCGTATACTTCAGTGCCATACTGTTACATCCTTGTAATGTATATCCACTGAAGGGTTTTGTTTGAGGTTTTTGAGGCTTTTTGTTCTCACCACCCCATTAAAGAAATCTTGAAAAAAAAAAACACGCCTGTGCTGTGCACTGACAGGAAGCACTCAGATGTCAAGATATAAATAAGTCGAAATGCACGGCATACTGATGACTGTAATATGGCAAAATATCTTTTACCCAATTCTCTGAGATCGTTAACTTTGAAACAGTAACATAAAAACATATAACACACACACTATGTTAGTTTCCTCAAAGCATCTAACACACTACCTCACACTTTCACACACTCAGAAGCATCTTGTGACTGCCTGTGCAGCTGTTAATACTTGTAAAAAATGCACTTATGTGTCATATCACATTTTGCTTATTAAGGCCAGCTCTCTACACACACTTACCCACACACGCACCGGCTGCTGAGGCCTAAACCGTGTAGGCAGCAAACTGAGGGGATGCAATAGGGGAGTTTCAGGGGTTCGGTAACCATGGGAACAAGAGTATAAGGGGGTTGCTATGACTCAGAAGGACTGCACCCCCCCAACACCCTCTTTCACACACACACACACATATATATATATAGCATTAAATGCATAAAAGGTTTACACCAGACCAACTAAGACACTTCTTTTGCCGAGTGGAAGGTCAGGGTGTGACTGAGAGGAAGGAGGAAGGCATCCACGAGACACAACAGACGACTGTAGTCCAAGTTGGTCTGCTGCTCAGATGGGGGGATATGATTCTGGCTTGAGGTAGCTCTACAGATTAGTCGCAGCTGAGACAGCGACGTGGACGTGTTTTTCTTTTACTAATCTCAGCTGTAATGTTTGTGGGGAAGTGGCAGGTTGTTCAGTAAGGAGAAGTGCGCTCTGTGAGTTGATAGCTCATGGCAGTTGTCTTGCAAACTGCATTACAGTAGAACTGAGTGGCAGAACAGGGCAAGGCACTGCAGTACACCCACCAAGCCCCGCTGAAGAGGGCGACAGCTTGTGGCTCTGCACATCACCGAGTGCAAAGATGGGTGCAAGTTAAAAGTGACACAACGTTAACGCCAAATGGGCTCCGAGGAAGAGCCGTCACATGTGAAGCTATGCAGAAAGAGCAGAGTCCTCCAGTGGAGATATGAGCTTACAAAGCAAACAGCCTGGATTGATTATCTGTGGCACACAGAAAACTGCACGACAGCAGCTGAGGTGCAAAGGAGATCACTCAGTCCCGCGTACAGGGCTTAACTCAGTTAAGTCCAATTCAGGCAGCTGTATACCTGCACACTGACATCCCTGCGTACACACAGAGCTAGAGGAAGTTATCTGCTGGGATTTGAGTCCCCACCGTGTTGAAAGGGAAACAACTTGATAAAATTAAATACGTACGCATATTATTGAAGGGTGGAAACACTCCATAATTGAGCAATCTGAGGGCGACATTTGGAATAACAAAAAAAATCTGAATGTAATGCAGTACAAAAAAGCCTTGATGTAGCAGCAAAGGAAGCAGATTCAAGTTCAAGATTTCCTTAATGATCTTTACACAAAGATAGATTGTATAAGACACTTTTGATTTGCTACACACAGATGAAAATAAAGATAACTGAATTATTAATTAAGTTGTTTTAAAAAAAAAAAAGACTATTTCCGTATTGAAGTGTGGGAGGTGAATTCAGCAGTCTCAAAGCACGGGGATAGAAACCGCTCCGAAGTCTGGTGTTTCGGCAGCGGATACTTGTGTTTCACTTGCCAGATGGCGGCAGGGTAAACAGGCTGTGGCTGTGGATGTGGCGGGTTTTGTCTTCGGCTCCCTTTGTCTTGTTTATACAAAAGCTGAGTGCTTAACGATACATTAATTATCCCACTCCTCACTCCTTAAACATTATCCATTTATAATCCCCCTCTTCTGTCTGTTTGTGTGTGTGGTTTGCCTTCTTTCCTTCTTTTTTTACTACAGGTCTTTGTGTGGTTGTGTCTTGATTACGGTCCACTGTTACGGCCTACCTCGTGATCCCATGTTCGGCTCTTGTCTTTTATTTTTTTAGCACATAAAAAAGAAAGGGGGGAAGAAGATATTTTTCTCACGTACACAAACTTACACACACACACACACACACACACATACCAATCAGAGAGAAGTGCCTTACCCACCATCCTTTTACTCCCTTTTTCTGTCTTTTATTTCATCTTTTTTTATCTTTGGCTATGCCTTTTTGTTTTGTTCATACAATTTCACCATTTTTCTTGCATATGCAAGCAAAATGGTGAAATTGTTTGTTGTTTTGTTGAGGAACTTCAGGGTCTGAACTAGCTTAAGTCCTGATCACCAATTAGCCCAGTCGGAACTTGTAGAGGTTATCCTGAACTGGGCCTGTTGACAGACTCGGACAGGAAACAGTGAAAAAGGAAAGAGAGATGAGGTAAGAAGGCGTAATAGGGAAATTCACTAAATTAAATATATTGTTCCAGTTGTTACTCACAGTCTAATAATGTTTATTCCTTATTATTGTGCAAACTCTATTAAGAAACCCATCAAAAAACCACACTGCTACTCTGGATCACACAGTCCTTCAGTACCACAAACACATTCTTTATGCACCGCCCTCTGTGCTAAATCCG